ATCTTTCATGCTGTTATATGATGTTGCCAGCCTTTGATCTTCGGAAACTCACGCGTTTCCCACGTTATTCATAAATTCCTATCGCGCACAACCTCTGACTAACCCTAGCGAAACCTTGAAATCTTTTACTGCCATAGATACCCGATCCTTTATCATATTTATCTAAGAACCTTACTAAAACCCCACTTCCGAAAAGTTTGCAACAAAATCCTATACCCATATTTGGACATAAACTTTGGAGCCTGACGCAACTTCCCAAACCCCACCTCTCGACCGAGGTGACATTTTTGGTAAAGTGAAAAAGCTATGCCACTTCTATTTCTCCTCCCGACCGACCCGCAGCCAGGACAGAGCCTTCTCTCCAACACCCCTTCAGGGTTTCTTGATAACCAACCCTACTAGTGAGTCAGATCAGTGTTCTTCAGTCATCTATTCTTCTGTGCAACGATCTCGTGCACCCTTGAGACATTGCGAGAGATCCTGCTGAGACCAGTTTCTAGTCCTTGGCGCAACTTGGGTCCATCCTCACAGAGATGCAGCAACCACACCTTTCATTGTCTACTAAGATCAGAGAAGTCCAGCAGTAAGTTACTTATATTTTCTTTTATCTGAGTGACCTCTTTCGTTTCATTTTTTTTATCTTTTCTTCTCTCTCTTTTCTTTTCCTTTCGTTTTACTTCCGTTTTCTATCCTCCTTGGCATTCCTCCTTAATTGTTAAATCAGACGTCAGTGGCCCAATCCTTTCGATCACAGTCGGACATAACGAACACGGAATATTGTTCTGAGTAATCGAGAATCATTGTTCTGAGCGCGATTGTTAACCACATATGTATACAGACACATTATAAAATCTTACAAATTGTATTTCATTGTGAACTTCCGTCTAATCACTAATAAAACAAGTTGTTTGTAATTGTAAACCAATCACGTTTTCCAAATAATTATTCTCAACCAAAAATTCTCCCTTCCCTCAACTGTCGCTCACGGTCCTATCCCAGGTAAAAGGATTCAGTTCCTTGACCTAAATAAAGGACCACCGACGTCTGCGCCAGATAAAGGGGTCATTCCGATTCTTGATCTGTTCTGCAGATTTGCGAGTACGTCGGAGCTTGCGAAAGCAAGCGTCAAGTTGCGTTCCTCCTCCAGGACGTAACACTTTAATTGACTCACCCTGTATAGATTTTCTTGAATATTTACTTTCTAAGAAGAAGTAATTGTTCTTATGGGCTTTTACATAATAAATGTGATATGGAAGAAGAGATAAAAAGTCTTTTTCATGTATATAGACTAATTCAACTTATACAAAAAATCTCTTCAACAAGGGATTCAGGTAGCTGCGTGACGTGCGCGACGGTTTTAAAAGGTTTAACGGACGCCAACCTATTTGAAATGTGAAAAGGGATGAGAAGTGGGGACTATGCTGTTGCTGAGGAGGACTGTGACTAGCAGTAGATCAGTGTGGATTGTTTCGTACGACCGTGAACATGCATTTCAATACGCGTCAACAACGCTTGAGTGAAGATAAAGCTGCTCCTATACGCGATCTGTGGAATATGCTAAATGCAAATTTATATGCGATGTACAAGCCTACAAAAAATTTAACAATTGATGAGCAGCTTTTTCCTTTTCGAGATAGAACTAAATTTACTCAATACATTCCATCGAAGCCAGCTAAATACGGGATAAAAGTTTGATGGATATGTGACGCGGAAAATTCTTATCCGCTGAAAGGTTTGATTTATACTGGTAAAACAGGGAATGCACATGAAGTAAACCAGGGTGAAAGAGTTGTCAAAGAACTTGCAGTTTTATATAAAGGAAATATTTGGAAATATTTGCATGGACAATTTCTTCACATCATTGCCGCTTGCTAAACATTTACTCTCGTGGAATCAAACAATAGTTGATACTTTGAAAAAGAACAAATCTTATATACCTAAAGGAATGGCATCCTCCAAAACAAGAGAAGAATTTTCAACATTATTTGGATTCCATGAAAAAACAGCTTTATGTTCATATGTGCCAAAAAAGAATAAAGCTGTAATATTATTCTCGACTATACACTCGAATATGACAGTATCCGATGATGCGAAGAAAAAACCAGAAATGATTTTATATTACAATAAATATAAAGCTGGACACTATGGACCAGATGTTAACAAGATATACCACACATCGACGTACAAATAGATGGTCACTAGCTTTTTTCTATAATATTATTGATATTGCCTGTCTTGCTGCGTACCTCATTTATTATGAAAATAATAAAATGATACAAAAGAAAAGTAATCAACGTAGAATATTTGTAAGACAATTAAGTGAAGAGCTCGCCATCCCGATAATTGAAGATCGCTCTCAAAATCTGCAAATAATGAGACACTATTCCACGAAGTTGGCAATCGACAGCATATATAATAAGCAAATTATATGTGCCGATCTTCCCTCTGGGTCTCAGCCGCAGTTAGACCATACCAGTAGAAGAATGGTAACTGGTTCCTGTCATATTTGTTATAAACAAACAATAAAAAAAAGGAGGAAAACTAGAAAATCTTGTGTGGTATGTAACAAATCCGTATGTGATGAGCATGCGGTAAAGATAACTCAATGTAAAGAATGTACTGAATGAATAAATTATATATATATATATATATATATATACAGGGTGTTTGATAGCTGATCATGCAGACGAAAGTTGGAGATAGATTAGGTGTAGCCGAGAAGAAAAGTCATGTACCATAATGTCAAATTGCCAATAGTTATCGAGTTATTAATTAAAACATGTGAGCCAACGAGCGCGTAGAGAGTGGAGGGCGACCGCAGTAAGCACGTAGACATTTGATACAGGCAACGTAAGCGACAAAAGGCGATCGCGCGCGACGAAGAGCGAGCGAGCTTTTTCTTTATAGCTTTTTCCTTATAGCTCGCTCGCTCCTCGTCGTTCGCGCTCGATCGCTTTTCGTCGCGCTCACTCGCCTCTTGTCGCTTGCGCTCGCTCGCTCCTCGTCGTTCGCGCTCGCTCGCTCCTCGTCGCGCGCGCTCGCCTCTTGTCGTTTACGTTGCCTCTCGCCGCGCGCCCTCGCCCACCGTCACTCGCTGACTCCGCCTGTATCAAATGTCTACGTGCTTACTGCGGTCGCCCTCCACTCTCTACGCGCTCGTTGGCTCACATGTTTTAATTAATAACTCGATAACTATTGGCAATTTGACATTATGGTACATGACTTTTCTTCTCGGCTACACCCAATCTATCTCCAACTTTCGTCTGCATGATCAGCTATCAAACACCCTGTATATACATATATATTAATAAATAAAAAGTTATATTCAATTTAAAAACATTGCTTTTATTTAATTAACAATCCCAGGCATGAAAATTGTATAATTGAGTAAGAAATTAAGCAGAAATTATTCATTTGTATGCATGGGTACCCGGGTACCCCGGTTGTCCCCAGCGAGTTGATTAAATTAATGCAATAATTTTCTTTATTCCTAACATGAAAAAAAATATCTAAAAACATTTTGTGATGGAAAAAAGTTCAAATCGCGACGATCCGGGCGGATTTAGAAAAATTTTCAGTGGAACATAGAAAAATTTCAAGGAATATGGTGGGTACCCGGGTACCCGGTTGTCCACATAAGGGTTAAGAAGCCAACACCCGGTCGCCATCTCAATCCCGTGCGCGTTACCGACTTTGTCGATAAACTATTACATGTCGGTATGATTCTTTTCATTTTCACATGGAAAATTATATTGGCTTGGATAATAATTTAAGTAATCGAAAATAACACGATTTCTTTCGTTTTTCAGTACATTTCAACTGTCTTTTCATACATGACACTCGTACGTATCATAATAGGTAACGAATGAAAAATAATAAAGGAACAAAAAATATAACGAATTACGCTCAAAGTCAAAATTCACTTTCTCTCGTTGTATTTCCCCAAAGTAATTTCTATATATAGAGCTCTACTTGTAATGTGTTGTGAGAACCGGAAGAGAAAACCGGAACTCGTTAATAAATATGTCCCAAGAATACTCTTGCGTGTTTCATATGTGAAATTCATGAAATCGCACAACCCATCATCGTGTAAACTGTAAACATTTATTTTTTACGTTTGACTCGTAATAACAATCGATACAAAATCGATTTGTAGGTAACTAACTCTTACGTTTTAAAAGAAAACTGACATTTCGAATATAAAGATAAAATATACGCTTCACTGTAACTCGCGAATTATCCCGCCGATATAACGATGCGAGACACGAGGTATGAGAATATGATGTACGCAATTTATACAAGGGATTTTTCTTGGAAACGGAAAATTGTAAAGATTAATTAGATTAAACTAAGAAAAAAAGTCAAGTACCAAGAAAAAACAAAAGAGTCAAGTTTTGCAAAAATCACAATAGTTATTAAATTATTAATGATTGAAAATGATCATATCTAGTTGCTCTTTTAATTAATAACGTGCAAAGTTGCATACTTACTTGCAAAATGGTAAAGAACGTTGTTCAAAGTAACCTAATCTATAATTATATGACAGCTATTATGCATAGCAAAATGTCGAAGATTCAGGGTTTAAAGTTCAGTATACTCATATCTATTACTAGATATAATAGCTGTCATATAATTATAGATTCGGTCATTCTGAATAAAAAAGTCCTTTTCAAAATTCCTTTTCAATCAAACTAAGAAGAAATTTCGAGTACCATTTTGCAAATAAGTACGCAAATTTTCTAGTTATCAATTAAAAAATCTCTATCTAGATATGGTCATTGTCAATCATTAATAACTTAATAACTCTTGCCATTTTTGCAAAATGGTACTCGATTTTTCTCTTTAGTTTGATCTGATTAATCTTCACAATTTTTCGTTTCCAAAAGATCACGAATGCTCTCCATATATTGAGCTGCACACACTCATCTCGTTTACTACAAAACTTTTCTACAGTAACATAATCTTACGCAATGTAATCTGCATGAAAATACGCGTGCTTGTTGTATCTATTAATTACTTCGCTCTCTTATTTGACACTACATCCGCAGAGTTTCAGTATAATTTTTACGCTTTTTACTTTCTCATCTTCCTGTCCACGAATCGAAAGCGCAACGGCCGATTCGGTACATTCACCATGAGAAATCGACTTTGAATGTCCGTGTAGTCGTATTCGATCGTGAATTCTCTCACCAGCTGGAAAAAATAAGAAAGACAAATGCATTTATATCGTTTCTATCGTATACACGTCGTTCGCTTTAAGCTAAATTCACTCACCCTCGTTATAAGCAACATCATTTGCGTCTCAGCCATGTTTCTACCCAGGCAGGATCGCGCGCCGTATCCGAAAGGTAGACACGAATACGCCTGATAGAAATTGTACGCATGCTCGTCCTGATTCAACCACCTCTCTGGCCGATACTTCTCGGAATCTTCGAAAAGTTGCTCGCGCTGCGACGTTATCTGATTCGCCATTATAACGAAAGTCTGTACAGAGCGGAAGCTATTTATCTTAAATCTACGATTTGTCTGCGTCGCATGAGGTCTCAATGACAATGAGGAAACAATGACTCACCCCCTTCGGTATAGTGTATCCGTGTAACGTAATCGGCGACGACAGTAATCTCGTCAAGTAGGGGAATGCAGGTCGCAACCTTTAGAAAAAAAGACATACACACATAAGAAGAATAATGCTGATGTGTTACTGGTTAGAGATTTTAGAAGAAATAACTTATATCTCAGGTCAATTTGTAAAATTGATTCAATCCTGTGCCCAAAAATTTCTTACCTAAGACTTTCCTTCATGCACGCTCTTAGATACGGCATGTTCTTCAGGTTTTCCTTCGTCAAGGTAGAGCTTATCTTAGGTGAAACGGAGATTATCTCATCGTACAACTGCTTCTGCGCTCTGGGATTCTTCGTCAGAAAGTAAATCAGGAAAGCCTCGCAATTGACGACCTGAAAGAAAAAAATCACGGTGAAAAGTGGTTGCATTTTCGTGTTACAGCCATGTCGACTTTGATCGTGCATCTAACATACAGCCTGGACGCCTAAAATCATCATGTCCATCAAGAGAGTGGAAATGTCGTCCGCGTGAACACGCCGGGTCAGCATCCTCTCAAGGAGCGGTAAACCTTTCTCCTCTTCCGCGGGTTTCTTCTGCTCGGGCACCGTTACAGCTTGTAATCTGTTTTGCGCCCGACGAATATACTTTCCGATGATTCTGAAACAAAAATCCACCGACGAGTAATTGGCAATTACAAAATTAACGTGATCTTCAAACAAACACAGATAACCAAACAACCTGAAGTAATTCATCGGCAAGACGCAAATGTAATATGTATTGAGAGAAGGTCATATTAAAATGAAATTGCAATCATTGTTATGCGACGAATGTAATTCAGCAAGTGAAGTACGATTGATAGGTTTCATCGAAAATTTGCCACTGTCAAGAAAAGTCACTGTCGTCGACTCACTCGTTGAGGGTATCACACGCCACGAAAAGCCTTCTGACGAACGGAGTCTCGAAAAATCTCCACACCTGAAATCCAGTTTCACAGCGACTCATATATGTGTGGGCGGTGATCAGTGCATTAATGACCTTCGTAGTTTCATCCACCGATCTCGAGGTGGAATCAAGGAAGCCAAGATGCTTGTTGAACATCGTCACATAGAAGCACTCCATACCCCAGGCGGTGAGATCCCGATGAAAAGTCGCCGGCACCTGTCAGGATTTGAGTCTACTGAAATACTATTTTTTCGCATGTCCAGATACCTCTCGTTATCCATCAACTATTACATATCACCCATCAGAGTCTAACGAACCTCATCCTGTCGATTGCATATTTCACGAATCCTGTTAATAAATTCCCCGCACACCGCGTCCAATTTCTCAACATAATCCCAGACGGTATCATTGAACGGCTGATCGATCTTCTCTTTTACTTCCAGCCACTCGGAACCTTGCCTGACATTTTATTAAATTCTCATACGTTTTGTCGGACATCTTTTTACATAATAACGTGTACATAATAACACGATAACACGATAACAGAGAATGTTATAAATTTATCTAACAGATAGAATTATTTCGTGTAAAAATTCTGCCGTGAAAGAATATATGCGAAAATGTGAAGAGAAGTATTCACTCGTGAATTCGTTTAGTGTATAATCAGATGCGTTAATTGTAATAATCGTCCGCTGTTATCGTGCGTAAAATTAATCGCGCTATGTTTACAGCGAAAACGCTCCGGCGGAACGATATTTGCGATGATTAAGATGGTAATGTTGAAGAATGTCGATGCCGCTACGGACAGGCGACTCGCTTTCCTGCTCGAGAACCTGCGCTATATGCTCAGGTCTGCAATAAAATCGATGAATCAGCATCAGGCAGATGAGAAAATGTAAGAGATGTAATATTCACCTGTGAATCATCACGATGTCATTGACAAGCGGCCCGTTAATTCGCACGACGCATCCGTACTCGTCGAATAAGTATTTGATCGGCGTGACATTACGATTCCAGAATAATCGTCCTGAAATCGTAACGAGATATGCTAAATACCGTCAGAATATATCCTTTAATTTTCTTTTGTGATAATTATTCTCTTTCTACTTGACTATTTAATACTGTCAAGTGTAGAGATATACGATTCATTATAAATTTATCAGTCTATACCTTCCCCCTAGGCCTGTGATCAAATTGAACAGGAGAAAGAAAAAGTCTCTTACGTATTTCGTGTTATGCGTGTATTTCCAAGATCCAGGAGGTACAAAATTTGCACAAAATCCAAAGAGCTTAGAAAGCTTGCTGGACAAAATTGTCTTCCATCCCGTACGTACTTTGACTGGCGACGCGAATTTTCTCGCGTATCTTCGATCGCATGGACGACTCTTCGGATTTTGCGCGACTGAACTACAAGGAGTCGTACCCTGGGTAAGCTTGTTGATTAGCAGTCTGCAAAACAGTTGCGTACCCAGCAGCGGCACATATCGCCAGTATTTCTCCCACAGTTTCAATATCGCTGGCCCAGGGATTTCCTCAAACGGCAATGGTGACCTATCCGCACGGGCATGTGGTACAACTTTGGTGACAGAGATGTCAAAGTGCTCAGCAGCTATCTCAGAACACGTTTCCAGTAGTGGCATCGCCGTCGAGGATGTCGCAGTCGCGTTTACTGCCGGAACCGCACATGGTTGCGCTACCGAAGTAGCTGGCAGCAAGAGAAATTGTATCGCGTGACTATTTTTTATTTATATTTTCACTCAGCACAAAATACAATATTTATACTTTATTCCATATTCATGAAATATCCAATATTTTGAAGTCGAGATTAGACTTCTCGCAACAAAATGCAGAGACTATTAATGTGACATAATAGCGTAATTGGTTTGTTACGCTCTTAGTATTAATGAAATTAATTGTATAATTAGATGAAGAGATAACTTATTATATCTCTCACACGTTATGTTGCTTGAATTGAGCGACGAGCATTTTCTTTCCTCGCCGGATGTCAAAGGATCCACCAGATTCGTCATTGAGCGGTAGGAGCAGCTTTTATACGCTTGCAACGAGAAATGCCGAGAGACGAAGGTGGATCGCATTAAGCAACGCATCATCTCACGGTGAGCCGAATGTCCAATTTTATACTAATAAAATGCGTTAACCTCTAATTTTTCGATTTCTTGAAATCGTTTGCAAATACACGCGAGTCAACGAATTCATATAATATGTATGGAAACTTATATGTTAACATACCTGTTGATAAATGTACAGTCCAGAAAGAACGAAGCAATCGCAAAATACCGACGGGCAATGGTATGGTCAACCTATTTACGTCTATGCTGACGATGATGAAAGAGATAACAAGGTCGTCGTCGAGGAAACAGATCGAAAGAATTGAAAATCGATGCATCGACGGCAAGTTCAAGTGTTGCTGTTCATATATCGAAAGTTGTCGCTTAGAGAATTTTCATCTTAATGCCGAATATAGCAATATTTTCTTTTTATTAATTATGACACAGACATTGTTTCCCCCGCAACAATATCTTTATTATATCATTAACATTCATTAAAGTAGCAAAAAGAAATAATAAAGATTGATTTATTATTTATCTCATTATCCAAGAGATGAAAGAATATCGAATGTTCCATGCAAACAAAGTCACACTTTTCGGCACACGCGCTGAAATCTTATAGATCCACGTCGATCTCCGCATCCTCTTCGTTCTCCTGCTGGATCGTATCGTTAACATTAGGTTTTACCATTTTTTGAGGAAAGTCCTTCTGCGTGGAGTCCGGACCGGCTAAAACAGCGTTCTCACTTTCCCTCGCGTGTCGCCATTTCATCCGACGATTTTGGAACCAAACCTTAACCTGACGATGCAGAAATTGATTTAGCATTATTTTTCTCATCGCTATGTTGCTTCCTTGAAAATTTCATGTCACGATAAATGAGGAAGAAAATTTTGAAACACCATTAACGTATGCTAAATTACTCAAGTATGCAAATTTCACAAGTCGTACAACCTGTGCGTCGGTTAAGCCTAAAGTCGCCGCCAATTGTCGTCGATCAGGTTTTGTGATGTACTTTTGCAAAGAAAATCGCCTCTCCAACCCTTTCCGCTGCAGCGAACTGAACACGGCTCTGGACCACGATCTCTTCCGGCGTGTGCTGCTTTCTGGACAGCTCATTGTCGAGGACGAGGAAATTTGTGCTGGAAAACAAATATTTTCCGTCTAATAATATTTAAACGATAAATAGATACTATAATTCTCGCATTAAATTCCATGTATTTGGTGTTAGTTTTGAGGGATTTCTACAAAAGCAACACATTTATTTTTGAGAGACGTTAAATTATATTTTATTCAAAATATTTTCCATCGCTAGCTATAACTTTTTCTCACTTTTCGAGCAACAAGTAAATTTCGCGATAAAAGAAATGTTCGTCTTTCGAATTAATCCACTCATCGAGCCATTTTTGTATTTCTTCATATGATTTGAAGTGCTGGTCAGCAAGGCTATGCTGCACAGATCGAAATAAGTAGTAATTGGAAGGAGCACAGTCTGGTGAATATGTGGCGTGTGGCAAGACTTCCCATTGAAATGCCGATAATATATCCTTAACTGTTTTTATAACATGTCGAATATTGTCGTGCAACAAAATCACTTTGCGTTTTCTTTGAGCTATTACTGGACGTTTTTAGTTTAAAGTATGATTCAGATCGTTGATAACGCACAGCAGTGACTGTTTGATTCGATTGTAGCAACTCATAAGACACACGACGTCTTTCATGTCACACCAAATGCACAATAAAACCTTACTTCCGTGGATGTTGCATACCATCGATGTCGATGGTCGGTCTGGACTTATCCACAACTTTTTACGCTTAGGATTATCAGAGTAGATCTAATTTTCATCTCCAATTATAATTTAATACAAAAACTGCATCTTCTTGTGACGAGAAAGCAATGAAGTGCAAATGGTTAAACGATTTTGAATAGCCAATTCAGACAATGCATGTGGAACCTATTTGCATTTTTTTTAAATCTTTCTCATTGTGTGTAAACAATCTGAAACGGTTGATTTACCAACATTTAATACTTCAGCTAGTTCTTGAAACGTTTGAGCTGAGTTTTCATCCAATAATGCCTGCAATTCGGCATCTTCAAACTTTTTTGATTGACCTAAACGTTCTTTGTCTTTCAAATCGAAATCACGACCGTCGAAATCGCCAATAGCAGTACTTATATATTTTAACCGATGGAGAAAAATCAGAATAAGTTTCTGAATGAATGGGCTTCAGCAGCCATTTTCTTCGAATCGGAACAATAAAGTAAATGTCGAAAATGCTCTTTACCACACTTCATTTTTAAGTGCACAAAAAGTATGATCATATTCACGAATGCACATGCCATGTGTCAAATTATTTATAGAAATGTCCAAGCTTTAAAATGACGTACCAACTTTTAAAATATCTCTAGTAGATTTCTAGCTATAACCATCTATATTAGGCCCTTAAAATACTAACTGGAACACCTAATAAGATAACTTATATCGACAGATTTAGAAATTTAGAGATACTCTCCTCACTCGATGATTCAATCAGACAGATTTCAATCTTACTAATATCACGGTGCACTTGCAATATATTTGAAGGCGTTTAAAGATGACAAAAGTTCTCTTTAGAAATAATCTCTGTAATATCTGGAAAAATAATTAAAATTTATGCGGGACGCAACTTTTGACGGATATCTATTGTGAAACACTCAAAGAGAATTCTGTGTCGCAGAGAACACACAAGGGAAAGGAATTTATACGGATCAGGGTGAAAAGATGCTGAGAGGTGGAAACGCTATTCTCTTAGCGTTTGGACGGATGTCTGTTTCCACAGTTTTCGGTCCGAAGAAGCTCCCAAGATCGGGTACTTCGTGCTGATTTACAGCCGTACAAAAGTATACAACATCTGCGCGTATTTAAACTGTGCGGTACACCCACTCGAGAGCCGAATCTCCGAATAAATATTCCAACAGATATCCCTAACATCATAGTTATTTTGGGCCTTTTATGCTTGATCCTTCGGCGTGGGTCTCGAGTCCGTAGACTCTGCTACATTTGATCAGCCGCGTGTCGTACTGCGTGCGAACGATTAATACCACGATTTAAATCGGCATACTCAATGTCAAATGACGCCAAAAATGTTAATGAAGATATGACAATGAAGAAGAACGCGAAAATCGTTATACTTATTAAGAGAAAATTATTATGTTTCAAATATATTTCACATATTATTCGCGACCGCTTATTTCTAACTTGGAGACTGATTTTCACAGGGTTGGAAAGTAACTCGTTACTTGTGACTCGTACTCGTTACTTGTAACGAGTTACAGTTACAGTTGTGGTTATTTTTTTTGGTAACTATAACTTAACTCCGTTCCGTTTTTTCCGTCTACAATTGTAACTTAACTTACAAGGAAAGGGTCGGAACTGTCCCTCGTCGACTTTGATGGGCTTTGAATATGTAGAGCAACAAAAACTATTAGACACGTAATTTTTTTATCTCATATGTATCTCATAGTTTAGAAGATAAAACAACCCCTAAAAAAACTAACATTTTCATTTCTTGTGAATATCTTCTAAAGTACAAGATATATCAAAAAATGTTTCCTACAAAAGTTTTACAGTATTTTATATTGTTTGCAACGGTATATTCAGATTTTTCAAAAGTGTCAAAATTTTTAACCTCCCCCTTATCCCTTTAATTTTGCAAAATTAAAAAATTTCATGTGGACAAAAATTAAAAAGCAGTTGTTGCCGAATCCATTCATATATAATAATACAATATGGTCATGGTAAGTTTTAAGAAAAATGAGATAATATCGTATTATAGGCGTCGCGCTGTAAATAGGTGTTATTTCTTTTCAGTTGCGCTATATTCAATAGCTGTCTCTTATGCACATTTCCTCATACATATGATATACAAGAGAATTAATTTTAATGATACAATATACAACTTATTATACAAAATAAAGATATTAGATAGAGGAACGTACATATACAGGGTAGACCATTTAAGTTTCATAATGCGAAATATCTCGAAAACGAAACGTTGGAGAAACAAATGTTTTAAATAAAAGTTGTATAGTTTAAAGGCGAACGTACAATAGTGTCCTTGATTTGACTTTGAAACATGTATTTAAGGTCAGTTGAAAGTCAACTTAATTTTTTAAAATAGAAAGTCCAATTTTTTATTATTATCTTCTTTTTCTACCAATTAATTTTAACAACAACTTTTGTCTGAAATATTTTTTTATTTGCCTAATATTTTTTCAGATATTTAAGGAAAACTTTATAACTTTTTCAATATTTAACTTACAATATCTCGCTAATAATTTATCGAAAGAAAAAATGGTACTAGGCTTTTTTACTCTATTTAATCTCAAGAATATATTACAATAAAAGTGCCTTTACTTTCGTTAATTTATCGATTTTTGGAAATTTTAAAATCAAATTCATCAAATTCATCATTAAAATCATCACCTTCTAAACCTTGAGATACGCAAATAAAAAAAATATGTGTCTAATAGTTTTTATTGTTCTACAACATATTCAAAGCCCATGAAAATCGGCGAGGGACAGTTCCGACCCTTTCCTTGTTATTTACATTTGTTTAATAACTAGTAACTAATTTAATAGTTACTTTATATATTTCAAACTTAAGTTTCTGGCAGACCAGCAGGAAAACGTGACATGCAGCTTGATATTCAATAAATATACAATTATTTTAGCTGCTTTTGGAAAACGTGCTATTGCGTCATCTATCTTTATTGTTCCTTAGATGTTAAACAAGAATAAAATGACGCAATAGCGCCGATAATCTCCTCCCCGAACGCAACCTGTATTTCTTTCAAAAAATTGTATACCTATTGGACATTTTCGTCACATGTCGCTAGTTCTTATTTGTTAACATAACCTGCGTTCAGCGTGAAGTGTGCTGCGTGATTTCAGTTGTATAAAAAATTCAAACAATAGATAAAACATCTCAATCTTCAAAGAAGGATTATAAAATGCTATGACCAGCCTATGCAGAAATATTCGAGTTACAACAAAAATTTGGAAATGAGAATAACTGGGCACTCCTCTACAAAATTTGTGCAATAAATTATTCATGCAAATAGAACTTTAACTGCAAATTTAAGAAAACATGAGTGTAAATCTTTATTTATAAAATACCAATATATTTTTTAATAAAAAATGTAATTCTTGATGTTAAAATTATTTTTAGTATTTATTATTCTCATCAAATTCATTCACTTTTTTATAATTGTTACTAATAGTCTTAAAGAATAAATATGACTTGTTTATTTAAATTAATGGATCTAATTTGTAAAAATTATATACAATATATATGAGGAATATAATAATCAACAAACTACTTTCATATAAAATTGAAGGAATTTACATAATTACAAAATTTAAAATAACAATCATTATAAAAAAGTAACTAAAAAGTAACAACTCATTACTTTCTAAATAACCATAACTATAACATGTAATTTTTGAAGGTCAGTAACTTGTAACTGTAACTGAATACTTTTACAAGGTAACTTTCCCAATCCTGAATTTTCACGACTGTTACTTTATTATCATATTTACTGCGTTAGTGCTAATTAATAATGTCAGTGAGGCGCGTTTTGTTGTTTTGTACGTTATTAATATTGTAACAACTAAAGAAAGCGAAAGTCATTGAACTTTGATTTTAATTGAGAAAAAGAACGCGCATCGAAACCGCCGTTTATGCGCGGCATAAACGTTCAGTAGCACTTAAGATGTCGTTTAAACGTAGACAGGAAACACGAGAATACGCTGACACATAAATATTTTGTCCTACTTGTGTGCTCCTGGCATATCGGAGGGACAAAATAGTGTATCCATATGGTAACATTTGTCAATGACGTAACGCGTGGCTCACGATCGTATCTGTTTAAAGTGATCTTGCGTATCCTCTTAACAATTAACCGCACACGCGATCAATGTTAATCGATTGATCGTTCATTAATTACAAATAGTACCCTAAATCCGAATATACCTTTATCGCAGCGTCCCTCTTTCAAGCAATTTCCGTGTTCCCCGATTCTTTTCATTTCTCATACGTTACCGATTAATTTATATCTTTTTAATTCTCTCCCCTTAATTTTCACATGTACAGAAAAGGTTAGTTATAAGAATTATTTTTCAAACGCAACTCATGCCATCTATAGAAAATTACTGACGTATCAGAGAGTTGAAGTGAATTTTCCGAATGTCTTATTTTGATTGTAGCAATTCGACGTACAGGTTAGAGAGAGAAAAAAGATCGCGATCAGCAACGAGTGGTCCTGGTTTGGCATTCAGTTCAGCTTACGACTTACCTCTCGGCACGGGACGCAAGGGCGCCGGCCGATATAAAGTGCCCAGGCTCTCTATAATCCCGGTATAAGGTACGGGCGTGATACCTTCGGGTAACGATGAATGGACGTGCGAAAATGATGTGTACGCTCTGAGAGCTTCGCACTTTCCGCAACTCCCGAAGCAGGGGCAACGTATCGAGGGCAGTTGGATCGGAAGCGGCTTGAGTACATCTATCAAAATAAAGAAAGATTAAAAGTTAGTTTGAAGAATACAAAATGTATAAATACAAAAAGGACAAATAATGTCATTAAGATATATAATACGTGTATAAAGCAATAATAAGTTCACACGCTAAAAATGAGTTATATGCGATGAGTTAAGCTTCGATTTCGATAGCCAAAGTTACGTGAAACCTAATCACCACACTCCAGCGCGTAACATTTGTAAGCAATATGTGCACTCAACGTCACATTTTACCCGCTTTCTTCGCGCAGATCTCGTTCGACAATATGCGGTCCACGCCAAATTTCAGCTGCTTGGAACAATTGGCGCCGTCCATGATGACGTGAGTGTTGACACCGTTCATCATTTTCCTCTCCGCGGATTTCAGTTTATCGAGAGCGCACGCGGTGCCGTCGATCGCGCTCATGACACTACTCGGAAGCGCACGTTCTACATATGTACATTTATTTACGTAGCGTGTAACTTCCCATTGAGATTCTTCATTGTCAAGAAATGACGTAGAACGAATTCCAATGATAGCGTTCGTTACGACGAATTTGAAATGACTTCTGTTCACTTGTTCACTGTTCACTTTGATCTGATGACTTTACCTCCCCTTGATGCTTTACACTACACGCACTTGCTTGAACGCACGCTCAAACGTGGAATCAATAACAAATATAACTTTAATATTACACAAATGCAACTTTTTTACTAGTAATAAATGTTATTTTAGTGCGGTTTCAATCGTAATGAGATAAAACAGATGTAACTTTGATTTTTAATTTAACAGGGGAACAAACGAGCGAAAGTGAAATCGAAGTTACACCTAGGAAGATTTTCATGACAGTAAGAAAAAATGCTCTCAAGGGAGAAAGAGCCGCGGAACGGCGTAAAAGTGAGTGAGCGGGCGAAGCTCTGCCATGTTGAGAGGAGATCTCCGGCTGAGAGGGAAATCAGTTTGCCGTCAGCTGTGATTTAGCCGGAATATCTGGATTGGTCCACGACGAAGCTGGTAGGCGTGGTAACGAGAAAATAGGTCTGGCTACTTCGATGATCTGTCCGGATGCTGCGGATACAAAAGTGACCGCGATCATATTCTCATCCAGATCCCAGTAATCGTATAGTATGTGATATAAACGTATATTACACGTGAATTCGCGTATACTTTGTTCACGCGGGTTCACGATTACTGCTTGATTGCTGTTTGAGATGATGCGATTGAACAAAATGACTAGAATGAGGATGGGACGGGAACCTTGTAGGAAGAGGATAAACAATATATATAAAATTGATATAATAAAAATGACACTTGTTGCAGAAGTGGAGGGGGTGGGGCACTTTTCACCCTTATGACGTATTTCTCGTGTGTGTGCGTAAAGGCAAAAATTCATCTATAATAAATATTGATCATTTCGCACGTAAGAATAACGCGATTTGCCGACGCTAGAGGATAACATGTGCAAAGCGTGTCCGAGTATTTAATTTTCTTTTCAACTTCAACATGCTGAATTTTCCATGTGTTCAGTTTCATTCGTTTAATCCGTACTTTGACAACGTACGCGAACGACATCCGATGAAACGGCTATGACGAAACGAAACGACTCGACAGATGTTACATCTCGCGGTCGTCACCTTCCGACGTGTCGGAGGACATGTCGTGCCATCGGAAACAGGATTGTATTCCGCGAAGTTCCGCAAACTGTTGCGAGAAGAAGTCGCGTATCACGGCGGAATAATGGTATAGAGACGTATGGCCGATGATATCTCTGGAAACCATATGGTTATCTTTGCGTGTAGGCCTACGGAGTATACGGTCACTTAGGTGTTTATTTGAAGAGCCATGTTTGAAGCTGCCTCTCTACCCACACGCCAAGAATATTCTTGGCGGGATATATACACATCGCGGTTCTCTATTCGATTTTATTAGGTTTTAGGATTTTCACGAGTCTACCGGATTTGCGCGATATCAAATCGAGTCGATGTCCTGTCAATCACACGCGATGTAATCTTCCACCGAATTGTGATAGGGAGGAAAGACACGAATCTCGAATCGAAGTAATAATCTACGATTTTTAAATAGAGTAGACGTCTCACGCGTATCTCTATAATTTGACATACTTTAAGCACAGAGGTCTTATATGTGTATATATTTATTATTATTGTATTTAATTATATTATTGTATTTAAAAATAGTACGTAAAAAGTAGGCTATCCACTAATTCAGCGGCGTAACATTAGATCCACATTGCATGAACTTGTGAAAATTTTATCTGAATATTCCAATGTAAATCGTATATTTTTTGCTAAATATAGATTATAGATTATAGAAGTTACGAAGCATAACGAGCATTGTTTTGCTAATGCAAACGCAAATAGATGAATAAATCTGTAAAATAAAATGCAGCATCTCTCTACATCGCTTGAAGATCTGCGATCACTTGTACAAGGCATAACTTCTCGAAAGCATAACCATCCCTTCGTAAAGTCTGTCCGTCTCAAAATCATTTTCCCTCGGATCGAACATCCAGATGTTTCGCTTGGGACGATTAAATTTCTGCAGACTTTGCAGATTCTGCAAGAAGAAAATAATAATCAGTTATTATATTATAATATATATTCTTACCTGCACGTTTAATCTACTTTACTTTACTCAAAATGTTATCGAATTGTGCATAGATTAAATCGAGAAATCTTGTGTGAATATTACCGATAACACGATGACATTTCCACCACCACCGCCATTCGTGTTGCGACGAATCGCCGTAATTATAAGCGTCAGAAGATAACCGCCGAACGCGAGAAATGAAAGTGCAGTTATTGCCAGCTGAAAGATCTTTGAGACCTTCGTGTCCTTGCCCTTCTCGTCGTAGTGATCCTCGTATCGACGTTTGGGCTTGTTTGGGATTTTCCTCAGTGGTAAAGTCATCGGCAATTCCAGTGGAAATGTCCGACTAGCCATGTCGATGTCTTTATCCTCCTCTTCATCCATGATATCTACAAATCATAAGTAGAGTAAATATTAAATTCGAAAACTTTTAGATAACAATACGAGACGATCGCGATGATCGTTTACCGGCAAATCCAAACCACCGAATCATGAATTAGAAATATTCTCCGTCCTCTGGAATATTTTTGTTAAAACTTCGAAATAATGCCGACATCTTGAATTGAAAGTCATTCGCTACAGCCCACATTTTATTTTTAACCTTGCTTTTAGCAATGTTTCTAGCCATATTAACATAATAGAAGTTTGCGCTTAAAATATGCACATGTAATGTATTAAGTGTAACAAATAAATAATCCAAACTATTTTAAGCGGCTAAGAAATTAAGTTTTAAATAATCAGATTTTCCCGCTCTTTTACGATTATATAGTGTTGACATATAGCTATTAAAAATTACATTTAGTATGGCGGAAGACTCAACATAACATCAAAAATTATACAGTTCAGTAATGAAAAATGGCAACAGATAAGGTATTCGAATGCATTCTTTATGAATTCCAACAAGGAAAAGATGTTACAAGAGTAAACGAATCGATTTGTTCATTTCTCGGTGTTGTAGCGTACGATGTGTATGCATTTTGGTTTAGACAGTTTAAAAGCGGCGATTTTAGTCTGAGCGACAAAGAACTTCCCTCGGAAGGGACCTCGGACGCCCTCGGAAGTGCGGCAACAATAATTTGGAGCAACTGCTTGCTGAGAATTCAGCATAAAAGCAAAAAGAGCTTGCAGAGTAGTTAGGAGTAACACAACAAACTATTTTCAAACGTCTACACGAGATGGGGAAGATTCAGAAAGAAGGAAAATGGGTTTCGCATGGGGAACTCACTGAAGCCAATAAAAATCAACAAGTGGCAGTGTATCTTTCTCTTCTCAATAAGCGACGTAGCAAGTCTTTCTTGTGGAAAATTGTTACAAGAAATGAGAAGTGGATCTCTATGACAATCCGAAACGCAGGAAATCATGGGTAAATCCCTGCGAATCATCAACATCGGTCGCAAAGTCAAAACACTTCGGAAAGAAAATTCTGCTCTGTATTTGGTGGGATATGAAGAGGATTTGTTATGAGCTATTAAAACCGAATGAAACAATTACTACGGACTGCTACAAACATCAATTAATCCAAAATTTGAATCAAAGTTTGAATCAAAAATTAGGATGAAAACGCCCGTATAATGGCAAAAGAGAACATCCTGTGAAATTGTTACATGATAATGCTAGGCCATACATTGCTTCTATGCCAAAAGACATCATAATGAGTCTTGGCTGGGACATCTTGCAGCACCCGGCGTATTCGCCAGACATCGCTCCTATCGATTACCACTTGTTCCGGTCGATGCAACATCCGAAAATGAGATCCAAAAATGGTTTGACGACTTTATCGTGTCCAAAGACACAACATTTTTCCGACACGGAATTCATCAGCTGCCTGAAAAATGGCTTAAAATTATAGAAAATAACGGCGAATACTTTGATTGAAATTTGTTTTATTTTCTTTTAAAATAAACCTTGAATTTAGCTGAAAAATTTGGATTATTCATTTGTATATCTAATAATAAACAGGCATAAATTGAATATTTTGTATAATGTGCGACACTTATAGCGTGGACACATTAACTGCGAATTATTCTGCGGCAAAATTCGTGATACAGTAGTTTACCGTTTTCGCACACGAAAGAAGACTTGATCTGAATCAATTTGTCCATTGGCAACTCGCTTAAGCTGCGAATCTCGTCCAGATACAGAGCCGACTGTTCCTCGCACGTCGTCTGCAGAACGCAAAGTGCACACAATGTCAGGAAGGTGCGATACATAGCCGGATGTTTTGAAATTCCTAATGATTAAGAATCCTTAATTATTGAATGAATCATCTAGAGGAATTATGCAGATTCCATCAATGAGTTAGAAACAGAATAAAAATTAATCATGCCCCATGACGTGTGACTATATCGCGTGATGACCGACACGTGTCGTGTTGGCATTCCAATTCGCTCGAAACACCACTCGAAAGTGTACTCACCTCTTTGTAAAAAACGATTCACGAATATTTCCGTCCGTCGTAGCGATCTCCTCTGGAGTAAATTGGATTTTCCGTTCACCGCGACGACACTTTGCGAATTAAATTCGAGGAGTCTGCACTTTCCAGCAGCTTCGTCGTCGAGACCGACTTTTCTACTGACTTCTAACAATGAAACGCGACCAGATCGTTTGTCGACAAGGCACGCAGATACCGTTTCTCTCTCGCGCTTGGCTGGTGAAGCAAGAAGGGCGACGATCGTGTGGACCGATTCAACGTGGACTCTGCTTTGAACGCAGCGAAATGGAAATAAACGCGTAATTAATGCCGTAATGATGACCCGTTATGATCTGCTTTACGACAATCCTCGCTGTAGTCTCAGTCCGACAGCTGGGTGCGACGAAATGAAGTCGGGAGTCGAGCGTCTCTTCCTCTTCCTCTGCGTCCTCTCGATGACTGTGTTTGACAGCGTGCATCTCACTAGGACTGAAGGTGAGTTTGCTGACATATTGAAAGGAAGTATATTATAGCTTTGCGCACGAAATGTTACTTTAAGAAACAATCGATCGATTCGAGAAGAAATTACTGCAGAAAAGCAATTATCATATGTTGACCTCAGATGTTCTAGATAAGATCAAGACCGGACTAAAGTACGCGAGCAATTATTTAGAAACGGCTAAAGACATCGCCGATCTGGTGTCCAAGAGTTTAGGTCAAGATAAGCAGAATCTGAAGCAGAAACGAGGAGAGGATGGGGACGATGAGGTGAAACAGCCATTCGGTCCAACAAATCTCGTTTCCGCGTTCTTCCGACTGATCGGACTCGACTCACCGAAAATCGCGGCGATCGCAGTCAACAGTATCATATTTCTCGCACAAATGGTACGTGAGTAAAATGCCGATAAACGTTCATATAAATTACTTGAATTGCACCACATCGCGATTCTCCCTTTGGCGAATTGGAATGTTCCCGGCATTCCGCTCGATTGTTTGCCTCAACAGATAAGTTCGTTGGTTGGAGTAAAACAGTCACAGGGTAACATCGCCAGAAACATGAACGACGCAGCGCCAACCTGGGATCCTGTGAAATTCATCTTGGAAAACAAGAACGACAAGGTGAGTCGTTGACGAGTGTAAAGTCGCATAATTTCGATCGAACAACGATCTGAGCAACAAATGCGAAAATTATTTTCATTCTTTCCATTATTTTCGATTATCCATATTTGCAACTTTACGCTGAATTGTCCCAATTAATTTAAAAAATGTGAATCTCAAATAAACAGGTTCAAGCCTTAGTGGAACAAGCGAGAGACGCGAATCTACCGAATCATCTGATAGCACGAACAAGCGGCTCCGATTCCGCCTGTATCAGACTGTTGCTGTGCAAGTCGTCACCAGTGATAAGAGCGGCGCAGACCTCCCTCGGTAATAAATCGCAATATGGTGCACGTCAACTGACCGCCTGGCTACCGTCCAGAGAGGAATTTGAAGCAAACAGCGATGAATGTGAGGACCAACATACCGATTGCAATCTGTTTTCGTCGCGATAAAACTAGGGTTTACTCAGGGTTGGGAAAGTTTGTAAAAGTATTTAGTTACAGTTACAGTTTTTTTTCACTGAGAAAGTAACTAATTACAGTTACAAGTTACTGACCTTCAAAAATAACATGTTACATAATTATAGTTATTTAGAAGGTAACGAATCGTTACTTTTCAGTTACTTTTTCCTGATAATAGTGCTATTATTTTAAATTTCGTGATTGTATAAATTCCTTCAATTTTATATAAAAGTAGTTTGTTGATTATTATATTCCTTATATTGTATATAATTTTTACAAATTAGATTCATTAATTTAAATAAGCGACTTATATTTATTCTTTAAGACTATTAATAACAACTGGGTAGAGAGCCCAATTGTTCTCGTTTCCAAGTTTTTGCTGTAACTCGAATATTTCTACATATGCTGGCCATGGCACTTTACAGTCCTTCTCCGAAGATTGAGATGTTTTATTTATTGCTCGAGTTTTTATTTAACTGAAACCACGCAGCGCACTTCACGCTGAACACAGATTATGTTAACGAATAAGGACTAGCGACGCGTAACGGAAATGTCCAATAGGCGTACAATCTTTTTGAAATTTTCTTGAAAGAAATACAGATTGCGTTTGGAGAGGAGATTATCAGCGCTATTGCGTCATCTTATCCTTGTTTTACATCTAATGAACGATAAAGATAGATGACTCAATAGCACGTTTTCCAAAAGCAGTCAGAATAACTGTATTTATTGGATATCAAACATCACACGTCGCGTTATCCTGCTGATCTGCCAGAAACTTAAGTTGAAATATATAAAGTAACTATTAAAGTAACTATTAAATTAGTTACTAGTTATCAAACAAATGTAACTAAGTTAAGTTACAGTTATAGATGGAAAAAACGGAACGAAGTTAAGTTATAGTTACCAAAAAAAAATAACTGTAACTGTAACTCTATTACGAGTTACTCCAGTAATTAGTTACAAACATACTTCCCAACCCTGTTTTTACTCTAGTCAGGAAACGGTTAAAGGCTTCCGTCGGGGTAGCTTCCGTCCGAAGGTTCCTTCATGCTGTGTCGATTATGTTGGCATGCGAGTGTGCGTATGCGTGTATGACATGTGAGTGTGCGTTGAGATCAAATAATAAATATTTGAAACATTGTGGCGCATCGCGCTATGCTTTCAGATATAATACGGTTTCTTCCTCCTTCTTACAGGCTACATACTGAAACTGTCTCAGAAATTAACAATGTTCTTACACACGAAAGGAACACACATCGTAGTAGACTCGTAACCGAACGGGCACTTAGCAATAATGAGTAATAATTAGTTACAAATCTGTTACATGTACAAATGTTACGGTGTATATTTACATTGTCGCGTTGTGCCAAAGATTCTCGATAATTCGATATTTTCCGCATGGCACGCATATCACGCGCGTGTCGTGCGACCGCCGCAATATGTAAGTGTCTCGCACAACAACAGCGCGGTGTGAACAAAGAGACAACATTACGAAAGGTAAACTAAATTGAGATCGAGTACATAAGGCGCGTATTCTGTAACTCGTAAATTAATACTGATGCTTCCTTTGGATGCACGGAAAATATTTCGCGATTCAACGAGGACGGTGCTAATGTAAAATATCACGACACTTTGGAATCTAGAGTTTTATTCACGCAAACACATCTACTGGAAGATTAGTCTCTTTTAAACTATAAAAATATATTAAATATATGTCATCCAACCAAGCCATCGTTTCAACCCATCAAGATGATCGTCGAGATAATCGGACCTTATCCTTCCCATAATTCTTTTACCCTTATCAGTACATTAACTTTAATAAAATCAAACTTTTCCCCCTCTTTTTCACAACACTAGTAGACTAGTATGATAAAAAATGACGAACGTTACATTGTACAACAATATAATTGTAATTGGGTATATTTCACAGATTGTTAGATTGTTTATTCGAGAGTTACTTCATTTTCCTCTTTGCGAACAATTAACGTTATCACATGCTTATCGAGTGTTACCATTATAACAACTTTCTGCGATAGTATATATGATATTCCGAGAAATAAATTGCTCGAATCTATTGTACAATATTCCGGTATTACTTTACTTCTTCATAATAAAACATATGCGCGCCTCTCACATCTTTGCTACGAGAAATATCACAAATTAAAAATTATTAAGTAGTCCCTATTTTGAAGTGCTGTGCGAAATAGTGCGTAAAAGTTGTACTAGTAGGTAATCGTATCGATGAAGTGAAATTCTCCCTAATATGAAATTAATTGCACATAAACATCACATAAGGTATATTTTATAATTATATATGTCTATCTATTCCTCCCAACCCTGCCATAAAGTACGCAACTAAACGATATAGGTATGTTACAACATCTACATTCCAAAGTGTGCAATCTTCGATTAATCTATAGCATACATCTAATGAGATCACGATTAATGTGACATAATCTATATGTTGTGGGGTTATATCATTACTTTGTTTACTCTTTTTCCTTTCCTCTCTCTCTCTCTCTCTCTCTCTCTCTCTCTCTCTCTCTCTCTCTCTCTCTCTCTCTCTCTCTCTCTCTCTCTCTCTCTCTCTCTCTCTCTCTCTCTCTCTCTCTCTCTCTCTCTCTCTCTCTCTCTCTCTCTCTCTCTCTCTTCCCCTCCCCCTCCCCCCTCCCCGCCTCCCTCTCTCTCCCCTCCACCTCCCCCTCTCCCCGCCCCCTCTCCCTCTATCCCTATCTCCCTCCCTCCCTCCCCCTCTCCCTCCCCCTCACGCTCTCCCCCCCTCTCCCTCCCCCTTCCTATCTCTCACTCTCCCCCTCCCGCCCCTCTCTCTCTCTCTCTCTCTCTCTCTCTCAAGGATCGATCATAATCAATATATTAGGTCGCCATAAGAAATTCGATCGACTGTAAAACGTTTGGCATACATTCGACTCTATTTAGCGACGCGGATTTGCAGAACACACTCACGCAGTGAGTAGCATAAACCCGTCGCTCTTTCTATTCAGAAAGTTTTGGCATTCGAAAAAATGATTATTTATATAATTACTAGAAATATCTCGCCGGAATCGCGCGCGACACTCGCAATTTCGTTCGACGAAATAGCGACGACGTTATGCTAGTGATGCTATATCGTTGCTTCTTTCTACAGCATATACAACGCAAATACCTGAGGGAAATTTGGTTCAGGTATAAAAGATTACAAATTACCGGGGAGATCTACAAGAGATACGCATGCTCTATCGTCTTTCGCGAAGGAAAATACTGCAATTTTTGATTCGAGCTCTATAAAAACAAAAGTTAGCTGTCACAAAGTCGCGCGCGATCTGTAGGACGACGCATGTACCATATACAATTTCTCTCAAACGCGATTAATAATGTTATCAACTATTTATATATATATATATATATAATGTTTATATATTATATATTATATATATATTTTTTTACAACGTTATATATTGGATACTAATCGAAAAATTGATCTCGAAAATATACAGAGAATCAACAAATTGTCGAAAAGACGAGATGTGTGTGTGTGTATGGCCGGCCATTTTATATAACATATTGTTTATATCACCGCCAGTAGCATGTTATATCGCGTGCTCACATTAAGTCGAAATATTTATTTACAAGAGAAGCGCATTCTATCCATACAAAGATGTCCCGTTCACTCAGACACGCGAGACTCGCGCTCACTTGCACACGTCTCTCTCTCTCTCTCTCTCTCTCTCTCTCTCTCTCTCTCTCTCTCTCTCTCTCTCTCTCTCTCTCTCTCTCTCTCTCTCTCTCTCTCTCTCTCTCTCTCTCTCTCTCTCTCTCTCTTTCTCTTTCTGTATTAATTTACATTGTACTTAACATGTAATAATATAGTGCATAGTTTATTACTAACAGGAAGTCAATGTACGTTGTGTGCGTGTGTATATGTGTATGTGTGTTTAATGTTTCGTCACGCACGCATATGTTGGGATATAGAGCCGACCAAGTTCAAAACATACTGGAAGACGAAAGGCTAACAACTCTGGGATGAGTCCTCAACAGAGAAAACGAAAGAGAGAGAGAGAGAGAGAGAAAGGGAGAGAGAGAGAGAGAGAGAGAGAGAGAGAGAGAGAGAGAGGGAGAGAGAGAGAGAGAGAGAGAGAGAGAGAGAGAGAGAGAGAGAGAGAGAGAGAAAGGGAGAGAAAGATAGAGAGGAGGGAAAAGAAAATCTCATCTCGATCGTCTCTCTTCTTATACAAAATGTAAAATTTGCTTTCAAAACGACACATCCTTGATATTTCACAAAAGGAGAATTCATCCGAGAAATAGAAGCCTCATTCCGTGCGTTGTTTCCTTCGCTTTGGAACATGTGTATGCATACGCGACATTCATATTTGTTGCATAGTTGTTTCCGCGTATTATGGCTCTGTATCTGACAAAACGCAATCACGATCAACGATTATGCGCCGCTGCGACGTTTACCTGCAAAATCCGAGCAAAGATCAGAGGAGAAGCACACCCTATTACGTCTGTCGATCGTGTTAATACTTATTGAAACACGATCGACGAACGTTCATGTGCGGTTTAGCCCGTAAGTATCACGGTGAAAAATTATGCGCGTAAATAGATTTCGTCTTTTGTGCTTTCGTCACGCGTGTAAAATTGCTTCGGTCCTTTGACGATTGCTATTTGGGTTCAGGAACAGTGCAAAATTATTGTTAATAAGTATTTCATGATAAAAGATTCTTACAAATACACGACACACGAGTGTAACCAATATTCACCATGATGCTTAAAGGTTAAAAGAGAGCTATTGTAATTTATTTAATATCTTCAGTATATCCCCATAACTTTATTTTCGTGTATATATATATATATATATATATATATATATATGAATTATCTATCACGCAATATATTTTGCAGTCTTAATTGTCGACTAGGCAAAGAAGAAAAAGTGGATTCAGAATAATAAGCGAGAGCGAAATGGAAATTCCGACGTTAGTAGCTCGGATAGAATCTCCATTTAGAAAAAGTCTAATGAGAGAAACTTTAACCAAAGAAATCGAAAAATAGTTTTTAATTCTATTCAGTTTCTATTCATAAATAAACCGACAGAGCAACATACATATATATACATATTTCATCGTTTACTGTGATATATATATATATATATATATATACATTTATGTGATATATATCACAGTAAACGATTCTATAAAAATGTTACACTAATTAAGAAAAAGAAGAAAGAAATAAAGAAAGAAAAAAAGAGATAGAAAGAGAGGAAGAGAAGAAAAGAAATAGAGAAAGAATATCATCAATTGACTCAACACAGTCTCTCTTTCAGATGGTTACACAGCGTGAGCAGTTATCTGCGAGAATAAAGATCAACTTGGCGAAAGAAAAGATACTTGAGGTTCTCTTCTCCGGATGTTAACCGGATTTAAAGAGTCGCCTGACCCGGACTAATCAAGTCGGTAGTCTCAATGCGCGCTTGGCGTAACCAATCCCTGAGGTTTCTGGTCCTTTCCATCAAGTTCGAGGCGCTTCTCTCAACCGTACCAACGCTGGTGGTAAAACCACTATTAGGGCCGTACTGGGCGATAATATTCTGAGTCGTGGTAGTGGGAGGTTGCGCGGTGGTTAATTGAGATAAAATGTTGGGCTGTATGTTGGGAGTACCGAAGGCACCTGAAAAATCAAAGAAAGTTTATATAGTTTATATATTTCAAATATAGTTGAACTCCGATAGATTTGTTAGAGGCAAAAATACGAAATCTTTAAATAATTAGAAAAAATCTTTTTCTCTCCTCCACTCTCCCTCTCTTTCTCACGTTAATCCATAGCAGCATAATAATATTTAAAGTATCAAACAGAAGCTATATATCCTCATGTTTATGCTTTACCTTGCATGGTGTTAGGTTGCGCCGTGAGATGATGAAACCGTAACCATCGTAAATAAGAATACATAAGAGCCGGTGTTGGAGGTATGTTACTGTCCTGCCGTTTATTCAAGACATCCCAAATTTCTCGTATTTCCGAGTTCAAATTTTCTAAGCTCGCAATAATTTCGGTGGACTCTTGGTAATGATCTGGCTTATCTAGATTTCCAACAACAGACTATACAATGTAACGCAAATTCATTGCTGATATAACACTCGTATGTTGCGTTAAATATTTTTTACACGGTTTTATACGGTTTATTTCATTCTATTTCATTTTCGAAGAAAATTATGCTATTTTGTCTTTTATCGTAATCAAAATTGATAGTTCACAAACTAAAATACGAACACAATTATATGAAATTTGTTTTTAGAGAAAACTTAGACACTCGTCTTACTTCGAGCAAACAGTTGCTTTAATTACTATTAGGTTGTTGCAGATGAAATGGCCGTTTTTCAAAATTCAAATTTCCCGGCCGAGTAGTTCAGCTCTTTTCATGCAGCTGTCGTTGCATGCATGATATTTGAAAAGTATATGCCCCATACGTAAATTCGCACGCATAATCTTACTTTTATCACATTGTTTATATCGTTGAAAATTGCTGTCTCTTCGACATGGAACGTAAGGAAATGCGGACAATATTCTTGTACGAATACAAATTTGGTCATAGTGCGGCCGAGGCAACGCGAAACATAAACACTGCTTTTAAGGAAGGTTCTGTAAGTGATCGAACCATTAGACGTTGGTTTGAAAAGTTTCGGTCTGGTGATACAAATCTCGACAATTTGCCTCGCGGCCATGCACCATCAGTGATTGATGACAATGTTTTGAAAGACATGGTTGAAGCAGACTCGCGTTTATCAGTTCGAGATATTGCACACAGCATCAACGTTCACTATTCCACTGTTTCCCGACACCTAAAGGCCATGGAGAAAGTGAAAAAGCTTGACAAATGGGTACCACATGAACTGACTGAGAGAGACAAGCTTCGCCGTATGGAAATCAGCTCATCTTTTCTTTCCCGATACAATAATGAAGGAATATTGAATGGAATAGTAACGTGTGATGAAAAGTGGGTTCTTTATGACAATCGTCAACGTTCTGCCCAGTGGTTAGATGCTGATCAAGCTCCGAAACACATGCCGAAACCGAGCCTTCATCCACGTAAAGTTATGGTATCCGTATGGTGGTCTGTCAAGGGTATTGTGCATTTTTCGTTTTTGAAAAAGGGTGAAACTATAAATGCTGACAAATATTGCCAAGAAATTGACATTGTGATGGAAAAACTGCGTATTGAACAGCCGGTGTTATTAAATAGACGCGGTATGTTATTACTCCATGATAATGCTAGACCGCATATTGCAAAAAAAACTGTAAAAACATTAACAGAATACAAATGCGAAGTTCTCCCTTACCCTCCTTATTCTTCTGACCTTTCTCCTACTGATTACAATTTGTTTAAGCATCTGGATAACTTTTTAAGTGAAAAGGTATTCCAAACAGAAAGCGACGTGAAAAATGCGTTCAACGAATTTCTTGCATATCGCTTTTCTAATTTCTACGTGAAAGGCATTGATGCGCTTGTATCACGTTGGGGGAAGTGTATTGAGGTAGAGGGGGACTATTTCGATTGACGAGATGTATATAAAGTGTGTCGAATAAAAATTTAAATTAAAAATTAAAAAATGGCCATTTCCTCTGCAACAACCTAATAGAAGGAGTAAAACTTAATGACTTCAAAAAAATAACAAAAATTTGCTTAAGCATTAAATAATGAGAGATACCATGAATGTATAGTTTTTTCTTGTTACTATTTTCGATACGCAGGATTTTACTTGTCCTGAGTTGCTAAAGTTTGCATTATTAAAGCGACTTGATCTTTCTCCGAGATTTCATCTGCAACTCACCTACGAAGGTATCAGTTCCCAAATCGGTCGAGCTGAAGCCACTACTGGCGCTCGACATGTCGCTCAGTGTCAGTTCATCGTTTTTTGTGGAAGACGCGTCGTTCTCGTTTTGCTTATCGTTCGCGACTCGTTCCAGAGACTGTTCCAGATGTCTCAGGTGAATAACTTTCTCGCCCAGTAGGCTCCTGGTGCGATGCAAACTCACCTCCATGTCGGAAAGTTCGCGCTCCTCCTGCAAGAAAAAAGGCGAGGAAAAAAAAGGAAAAGATCATTAGATCATGATCTCTCTATCCACCGCGAGAAATCAGAATTCGGCAAATATCGTTTTTAAATCTACATGATTTCATCAGAAATGACACGTGCGTTGAAAAATGCATGTATATAATTTATGTACTTTATCGTATTTTTTAATTAATCTCTGCACACAAGTTTACTATCTAAACAATACAACCCTCTCAAAAACGTTCCACTCTTTTCAAGTGTCTTTCAAATGCCTTCAAGATATCTTTTCAAACTTCTTTGTAATCTCCGTCTAAACTATTATGAATATGTTAAACTCTCATCTTTCAGCCTCGCGAAATGTGGCCCACTAAAGCCGTAAAGCGAGAGTCTAAGAATAGCAACATCACGATCAAGTGATCGATCTCATTTTTTCCGATAACGGCAATACCTGCACCAGTTGTTCCAATGTAGCTCTCGCGCTCCGCTGTTTCCAAGCTCTCTGCCTACCCTGAAAGGCACTTCTCTGTTGTCTGAGCGCCTCGCGAGCCCTCCTCACCGAATCCCTCTCCACATGAATCCGGTGACGGAAGAACTCTAGCTCCGAAGAGGCGTTCGCCGGCGCTGTAAGAGGTAAGGCACTGTTGCACATAACTTTTCGACCGAGGGTCGCGTGTAAGCCCGAGAGTCTCGCAAGCGTTAAAATTGCGCGAAGCCTCTGATGTCGAGATGACGAGAATGGGGGTGACGGGGAAGCAGGGTATACGTGAAGACAGCGTGCGAAAGCAAAAGAAAGAAACTGGGTATAGTGCACTTACGAGCAAAAGTCGAGGAGTATAAGCCGTTAATCAAAGTAAAGTCTATACAGTCCTACGGAACAGAAAGAATATAATGAAACATATCCTCGTGATAGTATTCTGTCAATGGAAACAGTAATAATACACAGTAAAAGATAATACGCGCTTTATGCAAATCCGACCCGAGAACACTGAATTCCGACTGTTTGATAAATTATTTACACATTTAAAAAATAAAAATAATAATTGGCTATACATATGTAACTACATATATACATACATACATACATACATACATACATATATATATATATATATATATATATATATACACGCACATATAAAATATGTACACGAAGAGAAAAAAATAGAATAAATCGATCAGTGACGATTAGACAAGATTAATTAGACAAGACGTAAAGAAAATAAAAATAAAAGAAAATATATCGTAATACGTAATCAGACTCATATCATACCAAATTTTACATCTATGTATATTTACAGTCGCTAAATATTATATATATATATATATATATATATATATACAGGGTACCTCAGACTACCCGTGCCATCCGATATTTTTGTAAACGCGACATTTTAGAAAAAAATGTTTCAGACAACAGTTAGTTTCAAGTATGATTTTAAAGAGGATATAAAACAACTACATTATTTTGTTTATAGATTTTCGAAATATTCACTGATCATTACTTTCCTTAAATGAAAATTTTAATTTTTTATTATATTAACTTTTTCTACCAATTAATTTGAACAACATTTGCCTGAAACATTTTTCTATTTGCCTAATATTTTTTGAAATATTTATAGAAAACTTGATAACTTTTTCAACATTTAGCTTACGATATCTCGCTAAACATTTGTTGAAAAAAAATAGTACTCAGCTTTTTATCCTATTTGGTCTCAAGAATATATTGTTACAATAGTGCCTTAACTTTTAACTTATCAACTTTTAGAAATTCCTTTGGGAATATCATCAAATTCACAAAAGTCAGGGCGCTATTGTAACAATATATTGAGACTAAATAGAATAAAAAGTTTAGCATTTTTTCTTTCGACAAATAATTAGCGAGATATCGTAAGTTAAATGTTAAAAACTTACCAAATTTTTCTTAAATATCTCAAAAAATGTTAGGCAAATAAAAAATGTTTCAGACAAGAGTTGTTAAAATTAATTGGTAGGAAAAGATAATATAATAAAAAATTGGGACTTCCATTTAAGAAAAGTAATGAGCAGTGAGTATCTTAAAATTGGCGCCATCTGTAAGCAAACTGATATAGGCTGTGTTCCAAAATTCACTGCCTGAACTCACTGTACTGAAAATACATAGTTTGTGTCATGTATATCATAAATTTTCAGTGCTGGCAGTGAATATTGGAACACAGCCATAGTATAGTATATCAGTCCAGTGGTGGGATTCTTTAACTCGTTATTGGAGTTAACTTTCGTTATCGTTGCGCAGCTTTTCTACGGTATACAAAAGCTGCGCAACGATAACGAAAGTGTTGTTAACTCCAATAACGAGTAAAGAATCGCACCACAGGGAGGGAATACCGACGCAGATCCCCCGGCTCCCCCCACTCCAGCCCGGCTGGTAGACACTCCGGCGGGGTTTTAGTCGGTGAAAGTCCGACATAACCTCCGTCCCCTTAAGAGAGGCGGGGGTATCCATGAAGATTTCCCCGCCGTTATAAAAAAAAAGGTATAGTGTATCAGCTTGTTTACCAATTGATTTAATAGATATATTTTGTTTTATGTCCCCCTTTAAACCATACAATTTTGTCTGAAATATTTTTCTCTAAAATATCGTGTTTACAAAAAGATTGGGTAACACGAGTAGTCTGGAATACCCCGTACATATACAGGGTGTCCCATTTTAAAAAACGCAGCTCAATAATTATTCAACGAAATATTTTCAGCAAAAATGTTTCGAACAAAAGTTGCATGATTTCAAGGTGGACATAAGACAACTATACTATTTTGTTTATAAATTGCACCATTTTCGAGATATTCACTGTTCATTACTTTTCTTAAATGGAAATCCCAATTTTTTATTACACTGTCTTTTATCAATTAATTTAAACAACTTTTGTCTGAAATACTTTTTTATTTGCCTAATATTTTTTGAGATATTTAAGGAAAACTTGTAACTTTTTCTTGGTAACTTGGTAACTTTTTCAATATTTAACTCACGATATCTCGCTAATTATTTACCGGAAGAAAAAGTAATACTAGACTTTTTGCTCTACTTGGTCTCAAGAATATACTGTTACAATAGCGTCCTGACTTTTGTCAATCTGATGATTTTGAAATTTCAAAAAGTCAATAAGTTAACAAAAGTCAAGGCACTATTATAATAATATATTCTTGAAATTAAATAGAGCAGAGAAGTCTAACAGCACTTTTTCTTCCGACAAATAGTTAGCGAGATATTGTGAGTTAAATATTGAAAAAGTTATCAAGATTTCCTTAAATATCTCAAAAAATAATAGACAAATAAAAAAATGTTTCAGACAACAGTTTAAATTTAATTGGTAGAAGAAGACGGTGCAAAAATTGGGGTTTTCACTTCAGAAAAATAATGATCAGTGAATATCTCGAAAATGGTGCCATCTTTAAGCAAAATAGTATAATTGCTTTATGTCCTCCTTGAAGTCATACAACTTTTGTCCGAAACATTTTTGCTGAAAATACTTCGTTGAAGAATGATCAAGGTGCGTTTTTTAAAATGGGACATCCTATATATATAAAATGTATATGTACACACACACACACACATACACACACACACACACACACACACACACACATACACACACGAAACTACGCGAGTCTCCTTATTTAGATTCCCTTAATACCATAAAATGTGCTAGATTTGTTGCACCCGAGCAAACAAACGGTAACAAACTCCAATTAACGAAGTTTTAAAACATCTATCTAAAGTAAAGAAATAAGAGAGAGAGGAAAAGAAAGAAAGAGGAAGAAGAGGAAGAGGAGGAGACTCTTATATGGCCCGCGCGCGAGGAGAAATATAATAAATCCTTGTTTTCAGTGCAATTATACATCGCGCATTTTTTCCAAGAAGGAAGAGAACGTTTCGTTCGGTTCAAGACTTCAGATTTGAGTCAACCTGACCTGATTCGATCTGACCTGGTTTGGATGTCGACCTTAAACTCTCCGAGAATTTCGAGAGAGTCACGAAATGCCTTTCGTTTGCCGTTAAAAATGACGGTGAATCGACGATGGTTGTTTTAAGACAATCACCTTTATCTTGGAAAGGATATCGCACTGTATAGGCCGTTTCGTTACTCGGCAGCTGATCGCCGAGGTCCTCCAGCTTCTTCAACTGCTTCCGTATGTTCTCCACAGGGTTCTCCATGTTGTTATTGTTGCCGCTGGCCGCGCTCGAGCGAGCCGCGCTCGACGCGACCTTCTTGCTGAAGTTCTTCCTCTTCTTCATCATCATCATGTTGGCGTTCGTCTCACTGGCGGTGGTAGTGTCGTCGGACTCAAATTTTGCCGCGCTCTTCGAGCCAACGGCGCCGGATGAGGCGGTGGTGGCGGCTGCGACGGTGGCTGCGACGGGGGCAGCGACGGTGGCGGTGGTGGCGGCGACGGCGGCGGCGGTGGCGGTGACGGTGACGGTGGCGGCTGCGACGGAAGCGGCGGCCACGGGTTTTTGAAACCCCGTGGCCGCCTTCTGACTCCTTGAGTTAGTGTCCAGATCGTTTTGCTCGTCAGCCTGTTCGCTCGCGCACTGGCCTTCCTGCGATTTCGCGTTTGTTACCGGGCTCGAACGCGCGTTCCTCAGTGAAGTACTGCTGGAGCACGATTTAAGGCCTATAGCCAGACATTAGGGCGAATCGCATGAACATGACGGAGTACCTTCACAGTCCGCTCGCGACCTCGTGACCGGGGAGGACGGCGCAGCCGTGTAGGCGCGCCGCTCGACCAACAGGGACCGATGATCGTAGACTGCGAAGGTACTAATGAGAATGATATCGAGAATGGACGTGCAACATTCACATTGTTCACAGTGTTCCACGACATAGGAATTAGCGAGAATTCTACGTCTCCGCTGGGCGTAATTACACCCGTTATATAGTCACGAGTATCTAAATGGCTTCTGTAATAATAAGTTAACCAGCGTCGATTTATCAGCTGAATAAATGTCCAATCTTCGTCGTTCTTTGTAAATTTCGATGCTAAGTTGCTAGACTAAAAAATCTCGCTAATTATTACAAAAAAGAAGTCAAACGGAGTTAGTGATCACAGCGAGAGAGAGAGAGAGAGAGAGAGAGAGAGAGAGAGAGAAAGAGAGAGAGAGAGAGAGAGAGAGAGAGAAAGAGATATTAATTAAATATAACGTGAAAAAGCATGCTCTTATGTGCTGTACGCCAGATGTGCGCATATATTGAAAATTGCAATAATCACTTATTTGCATCTATTTGTTGTTCATTAATCACAAATCCAATCACCAGAAAACGTTATGTTTCATGATATTATACAGCAGATATTTATGCGCTCGACACGTCGAAGTAGACTCTAGCATCGCTAATCCGAAATGAAAAGGTAATTCCCATTTAATCTGATTGTATCGTCCAATTTTTATTTCTTCATTTACTTGTTATTTCTCTAGCGAGTCATCGATACGAGAGGAAAGGAGGGGGGAGAGAAAGAGAAAAAGCGATAGAGAGAGAGAGAGAGAGAGAGAGAGAGAGAGAGAGAGATTTCGTGGATCAATCGATTGATCGAGTACGTTATTGCGATATCGTAGACTTTTTCCAGAGTCTCATTAGTCTGCTTCAGCAACAGCGAACGCTTCAGGGTACAATCGTCGAATCGCAAATGATCGACGACACGCTCGTGAGGGAAAAACTCACTTTTGTTCCGACGACTCGGTTCTCTCCGTTCTAGTCCGGGTGGATGCCGATCTTTCGGTCTCCGAGGCCGTGGTGTAACCCTCCTTCCGCCTGCTTCTCCTCTCGACCGCGAGGCGAACATCGTTCTTCAGCTTCATATACTTCTCCTTGAGCGCCGTGTACTTGTCCTGCAGCAACCGCTTCTCGCAGCGCATCTTTTCAAAGTCGATGCTGTCTTGCTGGAGGGCTCGCTCGGCCTGTTTCTTTGCCTCCTTCTCAGCGTCCCGTGCAAAGTCCGCCCGGATCTCCTCTAGTCGCTCCTTATACATTTTGCGAGCGAGAGCTTCCTGAAATCACAGCCGATAAACTAGCTATTTGTGCTAAAGGGATTTCAAAGAAAGATGAAATCGCTACAGGTACTTTATTTGCAATGATATTATAAAAATACTTCTTAATATTATTAAGAAAAAAAGTGTTATATTTTTAATATCATAAAGAATGAAACTATAAAAAATTTAAACAATTATCACATTTAACTTATGTGCATCATCAGGCAGATTGAAAACATGTCCTTTCTTATTACCGAATGTTTTTTTCTTTCCTTAGATCGACGTCAAATCCAATGGAACGAATACAGAAACGCTTGGATTTTGTAATGTAATCGGTAATAATTAATACCTTAATTGTTTATGCGATCGATTATAAGCTATTAGGAGGTTACATTGAAAGTCGCTGTTCATGTGTAGATGGCTCTAGCTGCGTATGCTCTGGGCAGTGACAGATGTCTCTTATGTCATTCTGAAGTATGAACATTTCCCACTAAAATCTAATCATCAGACGCCATCCTTTGTTTATACAAGTGCTTTTCTATTATTAAAATGGAACGCGATAAATTTTTCCAATGTGTACTTCTACACTACTTTGATTTGAAAAAAAGTGCAGCTGAAGCTCATCGATTGCTTGCGAAAACTTGTGGTGAATCTATTTTATCGGAAACAATATGTAGATATTCGTTTCGACGATTCAAAAGTGGTGATTGTGACGTTCACGACAAACAACGGCCAGATCAATTGAAAAAGTTCGAAGATGAACAACTGCAAGTTCTATTGGAAGAAAACCCTGCTCAAACACTCAAGAATTGAAACGCTCAAAGAATTGATTCAATAGCTGAAAATCCATCAACGATTTCACGATGTTTACAAGCCATAGGAAAAATCCAGAAAGGAGGAAGATGGCTGCCACATGAATTAACCGAAAATGCCATTACTAATCGTTTAAACATCTCGATTTTTTTGCTTGCAAGGCAGAAAAAAAGAGTTTCTTGTGGCCGACATCATGACCAGCGATAAAAAATAGATCTATTTCGATAATCCGAAACGCAAGAAATCATGGGTTGATCATGGCTAACCATCAACGTCGACACCAAAGTGAAACATCCACGGTCGAAAAGCAATACTCTCTATTTGGTGAGATATGGAGAGTGTCGTGTATTATAAGTTGTTGAAACCGAACGAACAGTCACCGCCGAACGTTATCGACAACAATTGGAGTGTTTGAATGAAAATTTGACGCAAAAATAATCACCAACTGCATGAAATCTCCAAAAAGTGATACTTCATCATGACAACGTTCAGCCCTATATTGCTATAGCCGTGAGACAAACACTGATGGAGCTCGAATGGGAAGTTCTCCCATACCCATCATATTCTCCGGACCTGGCTTCAAACGATTACCATCTGTTTCAATCGATGCAACATGCTTTGGAAGATACACATTTCCATAATTACGGAGAAGTCGAAAATTGGATTGCTGAATGGATCAGCTCAAAAGATAGACCGTTCTTTCATCACGGACTTCAATTTCTGCCAGAAAAGTGGAAAATAGCTCCCGAGGACAAATACTTTGATTAATGTAATCGCACATTTTGTTATTGAAATAAATGCTCAAAAAACACAAAAAAACAACAGTTTTCAATGCAACCTCCTAATATATTTGTTGTGCTGGAAAGGTACAATTGCCCTCCTGTTATTTTAAATAAATAACAATAATATAATAAAATAAAAATAAATAATAGACAGGCGAGATGAAAGGATACATCCGCTTCTGATGCAAAACAGTTAATATCGTCGATACTCACATCCATCCTGAAATCACGAAGGATTTCAGCTAAACATTGCTCATGATCCTCGGTAAACTTAGTGATCTTTTCGCGTTGCTGCATTCTCAATTCGTTCCGCAAGTCCTCGAGCTCCTTCTCCAATTCCTTTTTCATGCTCTCAATCTTTTCGGACTGCTGTTTCCTCAGCTCGTATTCATTCAGCTTCGCAAGTTTCTCTTCGCTCAGATCTCGCTCGTGCTCATTCTCCAGCTTGCCCATTTCCTGATTTCGCAGCTCCAGAAGTTCCCTCTTCCTCTCGTCGAGTTCGATATCTAGGTTGGATAATATCTCTTGCCGCTCTTTCTCGTAGCAAACCTCCAGCTCTGCGCGAACCTTCTTCAAGTTCTCTATTCTAGCCTCGTCCATCTCGGTTATCAATACTTGAATTTCCTGTTCCTCCTATAAAAGAACGCGCAATATAATCTATTTGAAACTCTCAGGGTCAAGCCTTTTCAGATCTACGAGACGAATAATACCTTTTCCTTTTTTTTTTATTAAAAATACTGTTATAGAATTACATATTTTATAATTTCCGATAACTATAGCTCCGATAAAGCGTTTAAATTAAAACTTTTCCCGCATATTAAATATAGAAAACTTATGACGAGATATATGTAATATAGAAAAAAACTCTCTTGATACAAATTACAATAATAACATCTTTTCTAAAACGGGGATTTGTCAAATTTATATCACATGTCTCGCTTACGTACAGAACATTACGAAGACCCAATTACCTTCTGAGCCATTTCCTGCTTGATCTCTTCCAGCCTTTGATTCCAGAACTGCTGCAACAGGATCTTCTGCTGCACAAAGTTATCCTCCAGCTCCTTCTTTCTTTCCTGCAACTTGACCTCGAGCTCAATCTTGAAAGCCTCAATCTCCTTCTCGTGCTCCCGATTCAACTTCATCTTCATATCGTCGATACTGCGGGAATACTCCAGCTTTGGCCGTACAAAACGCTCCTTTTTCGCAGTCACATAATCCTGATGGATCTTGGACATGTCCGACGACTCGTCGTCTTCAAGTTGCCGATTCGATAAACGATTGGCCGCGCGTCTCGCCTTCTCGACGATCAACTTCGTGCGGCGCATCTCCTCGGAGTCGCTGCTCTTTGCGACGCTGTCGCTCTCGCTCTTCGACACCAGGTCGATATTCTTCACCTTCTCAAACTTATTTGGCAGATAATCAAGACTGTTATCCCTCTGGAAACTGTCCCTCGTCATCTGGCTGCGATGCTCATTCTCGGAAACGTTTTGCACGATAAATCGCCTGCCAACTAACTTCGCGTTCTTCGACACGGTCTCGATCTTCTCCAAGGACAAACGCCGCCTGCCAACTTCCGGCTCTGCCTTGTTGCTTTGCTCCTTCTCGGTGGAATAGTTGTCCTTGTTGTCGTCGTCATTGTTGTCGTCCTCCAGACTCGGCGGGCCCGGTTTCAACGGCGACAGTATGGACCCAGTGATTTTATTACTGACCACCGCTGATATCCGCAGAATTTGATCGTCAGACTCGGACTCCCAGTCATCCTCGGATTCTGAATATGTGAACTTGATGTCGATTTCTTTTTCCAGGTCGAAGCGTACGCTCTTACGTTCCTCGTCCAACGGTCTGTCGTCTGTTCGCAATCGAAGCAAAGTTCTTTGCATTTATGAGATCTCGAACACTTATACGCGATAAATTGGAAAGAACAAGACGCACACAGACAAACACCGACTCCGCCACTTGCAAAATCACCACGAGACACGCATGGCATACACGACTCTACGCGCTAAACTTACCGTCCTCCAATTGTTTCTCCCTCAGAATGGACTTGGGTCGGTCACCGATAACGGCATTGTTGCTCTCGTCAGAGATGGTCAACGCCCGAAAATCCTCCAGTTTACCGCCGTCTTGACTAGGTGTGGTGTCCCTGCTCCTGTTGCTCTTTAGAAACATCGACCCCCCGCCGCTGAGGGTCAGCTCCTTCTGTTGACCCAATTGGCTCGGGTGCTTCTCTTTGTCAAACTTCTCCAGCCTCTCTGGCCGAGCGAGAGTGCTGGCGCTGAGCCTGTCGATGTCGATTATGTTCTCTTCGGAACTAAATTTGCTTGACAGCTGCTCCCAGTCTTTCTCGTGCCACGGACTCAGCGACTCAGACCTCTTCAGTACCTCTTTCAGGTCGAATTCTTTCCTCCCGGTTGTCGCATTTGTTGTGCTCGTAGTTGTTGTCGTACTCGTAGTCGTTGACTCCAGTAGTTTCGGGCATTCATAGAATCGCGGATCTTGAAATCTCAGGTTGGTATAGTCCCTGGCGGCTCGATCACTTGACAAGGATATTATGTTGTCGGATTTAGAGTCGCTCTCTCGCCTGGACTGGAGCCTATCAAAGGAGGAAGGCCGTTCCTTCTTCCGCGACGAGCCATCGGCTTTCTCGATCTTCCGCAGAGGCGCCAGCTTCGTGGGAATCTTGGTGCCCGCCATGCCGGGCTTGAGATGGCTGGTAGTCTCCTTAGAGATTGTACTGGAGGTAGTGACGATGACGGCAGCGTCGGCAGCGGTGGTGGTGGTGGTGGTGGTGATGGTGGTGGTGGTGGTGGTAGTGATGATGGTGGTGGCGGAGGCGGTAGTGGTGGCGGTGGTTGTGGGTTCTTTGACGGCCGTCTCCTTCGAAGTGATGGTCTCCTTCGGCAAGGTCGCGTCTTCATGAGACTCGAGATCCTTGGCAGTGGTCTTAGAATCCTCCTCTGCGATATTAGAAAAATACTTCATTACTTTTACAGTTGGGATTTTCTTCAACCTTCTGTAGCTTTTATCTAGGCATTTATGAATTTTCCTTATCTTCAAATGGAGAAGTGACATACTGAAGCAAACAAGAAGAAACATCGCTGAAACGGAGCAATAGAGTTTAGCGCAGACTCACGCAAAAATAACACGCGAACATACTTCATGTAGAAAATAAACCAGAAGACGTTATTTATTCATCGCGAGACCATGGTTGGGCGAAATTCCACAGTTTGCGGGTGCACGATAAGAAACTTGTATATATCTCGACGACAACGATGACGGCGACGACGACAATATTCGATTACGTAAACAACTGGAACGTACGTTCCGAGCTAATCTGTATCATCATTACAAGAAATGAGAAGTGACCGTAATAGTTCTAGGTAAATTCTTTAAAGACTGAAAGCTGCTATTCATTTACGTAACGTCTGTAAATTGCACAACATCGACGTTAGGCATCGAGAGCCTTCGCGAAATGCTTGATCGAGCCAATCTTTTTGGTCCCCAAAAGAAAAAAATAAAAGATTTCATTAAAAAAGTGATATACTCACGAATAATAGAATTTATCCGTTTGATAAACTTGTAATGTAATTATAACATCGCAATTACACTGATATTGCAATTACACAAGAGATGAATATTTCATAAAACATTCCGTTTCTACGTTGCGTTTCTGAGATAATCATCACGTGCTGTATTGCGATGTGTGAAAAAATCAACTGACACATTTTATCCCGCAAACATCTTTTCGAATTCATCGCGCGATCATCGTATCTTTCAATTTCTCATTATCGCGAATGTTTTCGTGTGAAACGTGTTTACCAACTCGTGATAAGCACCTGGATGATAATCTCCAAGATATTTCAAGTGCTGAATCTACACATTTTTTTACGTTTATTGGCATTTAGCCTGATCTCCCTGCGCGTTGTTTAATCAAGAAAAAAGATAAAAAGTTTGATAAATTCAGATTTTCTAATTTAATGTACATGTCGATATTATCTTCTAAAAAAACGTGTGTGTTTTTGTATACACACACATATATAGGATCTGCCAAAAGTTCCGGAACAATTAATTATTTCAAAAAATAATAATTGTTTAAAATAATCCTTGAAACAAAAGTTGTAGGGCTTAAAAAAAGCTATCAGATATTAATAATTGTTTGACCTTGGAATTACCTTGAGAAACGTTATCAAGGTCGACATAAAAATCTGAAATGAAACCAACTCCAATGTTATATTACACCGTCTTTTTCCACCAATTAATTTGAACAACTTTTGTCTGAAACATTTTTTTATTTGCCTAATATTTTTTGAGATATTTAAGGATAACTTGGTAAGTTTTTCAATATTTAACTTACGATATCTCGCTAACTGTTTGTCGGGATAAAAAAATGGTACTAGACTTTTCTACTTGGTCTCAAGAATATATTGTTACAGTAGCGCCCTGACTTTTGTTAATTTGATGATTTTGAAATTTCGAAAGATCGATAAATTAACAAAAAATAGAGCATTATTGTACCAACATATTCTTGAGATCAAATAGAATAGAAAAGTCTAGTACCATTTTTTATCCCGACAAACAGTTAACAAGATATGGTAAGTTAAATATGGAAAAAGTTACCAAGTTATCCTTAACCCGTAACTACTATTCACCGGTCAAATTGACCGGTAAGAAACGGAATTGATGAATATCTTGACAAATAACACGACCGCACAACTGCGCGTATATCAGTCGACTGACATTCAGAATGTAAGAAAATACACTGACGGATGAATACGCAACTAGAAAATTAAGCGCGTCATTTAAATTTCAAATAGTGCAATGGTCAAATTGACCGGAGAACAGCAGTTACGAGTTAAATATCTCAAAAAATATTAGGCAAATAAAAAAATGTTTCAGACAAAAGTTGTTCAAATTAATTGGTGGAAAAAAACAGTGTAATAAAAAATTGGAGTTTCCACTTAAGATTTTTATGTCGAGCTTGATAACATTTCAAGGTCATTCCAAGGTCAAACAATTATCAATATCTGATAGCTTTTTTAAGCCCTACAACTTTTGTTTCAAACATTGTTTTAAACAAGCATTATTTTTTTAAATAATTAGCCGTTCTGGAACTTTTGTCAGAACTTTTGTCTCTGTATATGTATATATACCATAACGATTAAGCGACCGTCGTAAACACACATGAAGATCGGCGCACGATGCTTGACGTGGTACTCGGCAACCGATATTTTATGGAAAGATCTAAAAATATGGGCGCAGCTCTCTCTCTCTCTCTCTCTCTCTCTCTCTCTCTCTCTCTCGCTCTCTCTCTCTCTCTCTCTCTCTCCCCCACTTTCCCTCGCAAAGTTTGACGAAAAGCCAGGAAAACATATTATGTACATTATCAAGTCGTACGATCCATTATCCGCTGATCCATTACCTCGCGGCATCTCGATGACGCATGTGAGACAACGTTGAGCGTGTTAGACTCGCGAATTAGATTACTCGACCACTCTAGCAAACAGAAATAGTACATTGGCGAGAGGAGGGAGTATCAACGCGGAAAACGCGGCATTGCATTACGTCGCGTTACGTGCGTAATCGCAATTACATCAAGTTTCACAGACGAGCGGAGAGAATCGGTTAATCGAATCGGCCGTCGCGCCGAGAGGACACGTGTCGTGCGAGACTTCGCGCACAAGCGGTGAGAAATATCGTATTATTAGATTATTTATTATTAGACTCTTCATTAGAATCTCTAGACGCATCAAAATAAATTGTAAAATGCATTCTCACGTGCAAGATATAAGCGTCGCGCACGTTACCGCGTAATATGTTTCTCGTCTTACGAATTCACAGTGCGACGCCCCTTTCGAAAAAAAAAGGATTAGAAAGCCATCCCTCGCTTTCGTCTATCTGAAAGACGACCGAGAAGGGACTCGCGGTCTTATTAAAAATCCCTTTAAAGCGTTATTTCTGGTACTTCAAGAGAATACCGTAAGTGCTCCCTTAGTCTCATCACTATTCTATCGGCATTTTGGCAGAAGGGGACAAATCGCGAGCGCCGAGAGACTGCGCGTCATGAGAGGTAAATGAGAGGTGGTAATCTCTACTTCTCGTCATCATCGTCGCCGTTTCCTCCTTGGATGCGACCAGGGAAACGAATGTGAAGCATTAAAACGCGTACCAAGACTCATTTGCCTCTTGCCGGCTCTGGCTTGTTCCACGAGCTTCCTGTAGACCTCGTCCAGGGGATGCTCCCAGGAGGTGTAACCGGTGGATGTCTGGTAATAATACCAGGCACCGTAAGCCTCGTGGAAACATGGAGACCAACCCTTGGGCAGGGCCGCCATGAGACCCTCGCGAGCCAAGTTGAGAAGGTGTGGTTCCGCATCGGGATCAATTCCCAGACGTTTTGCATAATCCAGCAGTTCTGAAAACACGTAATTGCCTGTTGATTAATCCTACAGATATAATGAGTGAGGTGTCATTATTGACCATTTGACGAGTCGAGCGATTACTGGGGGAATGATCAACGAGAATTGCCCGCGCGAGCAGAATAATGATAATACAATAATAATAATAATAATTTATAATAAGAGAGAGAGAGAGAGAGAGAGAGAGAGAGAAAATGTTTTTATCTGGCAGCGTTCGATTTATCAATAATGCCCTTGTGGACTTTAACACCGCGAAAAAGTCCCTTGCATCTTGAATCTCTGCATCTTATTATAGAAGCAAGCTCGTACGCGTAAATCATATAATTCATTGATCACAGTTAACCCAGTTAAAAAGTATTAAAGCACATAGCTCCAGTGCTACGTCCCATGGAAAATGTGTCGGCAACAAGATGCGCTCGTACGGCCATTTAATGCGCTTAACGTTCAAACAAAGGTGCTGCATAAGATATAACACGCTTACGTTACTCTCATCAGCGCGATAAACCGCGAAAAAAGAATGCGCATATCGATTGATAATTAATTTTAATGGCAGTTTAACGCGCTTTTCAACCAGGTCGCGAGCAAGGAAAGAAAACATACACACCCACTCTATCTTTTCCTTTGCAATCTCGGCTCTGTTGAAAGTTCGCAACGTGTGCTACGCGATGTGAATCGCCGGGAAAATTTTTTAGTCACTCATCGGCGATGCTATTAGTTGTTTTCCCTCGAAACATCAAAATTCGGCGGAGTTGCAAGACATTACGTCAACACTATAGATTAAAAGCATTCGCGCCGTGCATGCGCGCAATATCACAAGCGTGGCTACTAAAATTAGATATGCGTAATATCTCTCGCGCGAGAGGTGAATTTCTCGCTGTCACGCGAAACGCAAAAAATAATAATCTTGCCGCGGTACATCGCGACAAACTCGCTCGCGCACTTTTGCAACGACATTCGAGCTTGCGGTCATGAGCACTTGGTCCTCTTTTCCTTTTCTTTTTTGTTTTCCGGGGCTAATGAAACAAGTTAAATTAGTGAGTGAAAGGAATTTTCGATTATGGCGGACCCCACGGTGAAATATTTAGTGATATCGACTTTTAATTTAGTCCAAGTATTATGAATTTCGATCTTTCACTCTTGCGAATTCGTTCTTTCTCACAATCATAGACGACGATGAGGAAAGTCCGAAGACAGCCCCTATTTTTTTTACTCTCCACATTTCGACCGCGGGTGGCACACATTCAGGCCACTCTGCGATGTTCGCGAGCTACCATTCACCAGAGCCAACAGCCATTCCTTCCCATCCTTGGAATCGTCCGCAGTAATTAGAAATAGCCAATTGATGGAAAGCGAGGAAGACAGCCGGTAGCTCTGGGTTACCCGTGACCGCGAAGAGGTCATTAGACTGGTGCATCGTTGCCTCTGCGGTTCCTCATCGACTTCTCCCGGCTATGTCGCGCCTGTAAAAAACGCCTATTAAATCGCGGGGAGACGCGAGTGCAAAAGGTCTCGATTAAAAATTCCATCAGAGCCGCGCGCCCGGACAGATGGTGCACGCAACAGCGACGTTGGTAGCCGTAGTAACATCGCCGTTGTTGCTGCTGCTGTTGCTGCTGCTGCTGCTGCTGCTGCTACCGCTACCGCTGGCGGCGGCGGCAGTGGCGGTGGCAGCGACGGTGATAGTCGACGTATGGGGGCAAGTCAAGCCCACCATCTGTCCCGGCTACGGTGGGCAAAGTGTTGCTCGACGCCGATCCTCGAACGTGCGCTCGGTTCGATCGATCGCGCATTCGCACATTCGCTACGCAGCCACCGCGAGGACGAGGTCAGGACCTCGTCGGGTGTCCACAGGACTCCGCGCGAATCGGAGAAACCTTGCTCTGAATTCCCTCTCGCAGCCCCGCCGGTGGCCGCTGGCTCAATGGCGACAGTAAGCGGGGAGGAGGCTTTCGCGGCGGGTAAGGTGTGCGGGCTCGTCGACCGGGCGGACGCCCGGTGTCGGGACAAAACTTTCGCCGCACTGCGGACCCTATTGATTTTCCGAAGCGTCGAGGAACGGGCATTCTGCTGCTGCTCTCTCTCTCTCCCCCCCCCTCTCTCACCCCCTCCCTCCCTCCCACCCTCCCTCCTCTCTCTCTCTCTCTCCCTCTCTGTCTCGGCGCGATGTAAATAAACAAGAAAACTCTCCACCAGCCCTCCTTTGAATACTTCGGGCAATCTCCTCAGCGTGTCGTTCCGTTTCGCTTCGTAAGAAGCGAGCCGCGACACCTGTTTACCTGCTGCTTACTTTTTTGCTTAGGTTTTTGCTGAAACGCCACGAAGATTTTTGCCGCTTTGTGCGCTCCGTCACGAGCGCCCGCGCAAAACGCGCGCAACTTGTCTCCACGACACGAGACAGTCCGTCTGGGAGACACGGCGTACTTCCTGCTTTCATTGATCGAAGCATCCGTAAGATTCAGAGGAAGATTGCATAGTCTCGCTGAAAGCGCGTCGTCTTGTCCGATGTCCTCTCTGGAGGAAGCGGCGGACGTACAGGATACGTGCATACATGTGACGGACATTATTCATGTCCACGGAACGCAGTCGAACGGATGCGACATTCGTTTCGTAACGTTGAAACAGATTCGCGGAGAATCATAGGAAATAGTGACAAACAACAGTGACGCATCTACGCGGTCGATTTATGCGGGGTTGCGTTATTATTCCCAATCATTGCATGCTGACCTAAATATAATAACGCCTGAGATATCGAGATACCTGAACTTCGTCGCCTAATTTTATACCAAGTGCTCTAACACTTCGATAGGCCAATTAATTTTCTCTCTCTCTCTCTCTCTCTCTCTCTCTCTCTCTCTCTCTCTCTCTTTCTCCCTTGATATCACGCGCATAACGCGCGACTCTTACTGTACGCGTACGCGACGAGCGAATGACAGACAAAACGTTATGTCAATTGCTACATCCACGTGGAATTACCGAGTCCGAAGGACACTGCAAGGGCTAGCTATTACGGTAGGAGGAAATGACAGGACATCGATTAGCTCGACAACGAACGCCCTGTTTCCGGGCAGGAGGCATCGTGCGTCGGCTCGACGAGCACGACGCGTCGGACCCGCTGGGTCATCGTCGACGGCTCGACGATGACGTTCGATGAGGCAGGGAGATTGAAGAAAATTATGAGAGGGTGCGAGGTCCCTGTGCTATTATCGCTTCGTTATTACATCAATTTTCGACATATTGTCACTTACCTTCCTTCGTTGGGTGAGATGTCTCGTCGAAAACCTCCCTGCATACAATCGTAGCGGCGCTATCTTGAGAAATGCTCATGCTAATAACGCGAGCATACACCGACACCCCGTGAACGTGAACGCGCGAGCGTAACCTTACGCATTATACGCGCGGCTTATTGCTTATTTTTTCTGGCCCGTTTTCTCTCGATTCTTTCTTGCGCGTTTTACGTGTGCGAACCGCGCGACAGAACGACCGTGGGTCGACTTGGTTTTTCCATATCGGCGACGTGTATACGTACGTGCGCGCCTTCTGCACCGCGCGAGGCTTGTGCGTCGGCGGTCAATGTTGAATTCAACTTGAACGTAGGCGGTGGTAGGAAAGAGAGAGACAGAGAGAGAAGGAGAGAGTAAGACAGGTGAAAGGGTGGGAGGCAGAGAGAGAGAGAGAGAGAGAGAGAGAGAGAGAGAGAGAGAGAGAGAAAAGGAGTCGCCACTCGCGCCCTCGGTTGTCAGCTGCGAAAGCAGCTGGCTGATAAAGACACTTGCTGCCAACGATGGCAAGTCTGCTTTTATCATCGAGAGACTCGTCATTGATGATAAGATGCTACCAGACAGGTATACGAAAATGCATATGTATGAACGCACGAAACAGCAGCGAACTCTTGTGCTTAGAGGCCCGCGGAACAACCTTGAAATATAAACCCTGTGGGGAGATGACCTTGTTGACCTTTAATGCTCCATACCTTTCTGCACAGATTTCTCTGTTTTAATTGATTCTTCTTCATAACGAAGAAAAAATGCGACCGTATCTAGCCTTGGTTGACTTTTTCAAATCGCACGTCATTAGCTTTGCATTTTTGAACAATTATTTGTATAATGTTGACGAAGGTGAATGTTTCCGATTGAAATTATAGTGCGGAAACGACTGTACGTTCATACACACTAGAATGCACTAGAAATTACAGATAAGAGAAGAGCGAGAGTGATAAGACGAGATAGTACGAATTTGTCATTTTTATCGATATGCGTTAACATTTCCAACAACAATGATGTAACGCGTGAGCAGTAAGAATGCAATAATGCGAGAAAATCTAAAGTTAGAATCGAATAATTTTTACAAACTGTAACTAACGTACTCAAGATGCATATAAGCTTCGTAACCGTTATGTAATCGAGTTACCATACGTGGGTTGAATATAAAACGCCTTTCATTTTGAGAGAGAGAAAGAGAGAGAGAGAGAGAGAGAGACATATTTATAAATTTAAATTGAAATGATTACATGTTAGTTACATACCATATCCAATTTATAAACAAGTACAAACGGTAAGTAACGAATATCGAAGTATCTCTTTTCAATCAAAATTTGAGTGCGTATATGCAATTTTTTAATACTTTTAAATCATAATTTATCACAAATACATATTATTAATAAAAATACCATTTTATATTTGACACCTATTTATATACCGAAATATCTTTATCGACTATAGGTAACAAAGTTAAATGTTAAAAAATTGATACATTACATTACATTGATACATTTACACTTACAGGGTATGAACGAGTAAGTGATCCAACTTTTTACTACACAATTTAGCATTACCGACAGCACTGTAGTTAATGGAGTTGCGTATAGATGTTTCAGGCATCATGTCGTTTGCATTACACTTTTAAGCCCAGTTCCACAACTTGCTTTAAACTGGGCCTTATAATGCATTACCATAACGACATGATGCGTGTAACATCTGTACGCAACTCCCTTAACCGTTTGAGTCCCAAGCAGCGCGATCGCGCTGTTCAGATTTTATGTCGAGAAAACCCAGTACATTTCGATCATTGTGGACAACTGACGGTGCGTTACCGATTGTCGAAGTCGTCAGATTTACTGAAGCAAGTATATCACACCGATCCTTTTAATGTAAATAGTACATTTTATAATAGGTAGAATAATACTATAATAATGCAATAATACATTACAAAATAAAAATTTTTATTTCATTGTTATCTTCTCAATAATTTTTATCGAACAAAACTTTAAATATTTATAAATTTACAGTACGCATATGTAATAATACAGATGTATTTTATAAAATAACGAATTACAAATTAACAATATTTTTGTGTTATGAACAAATAATTTAAATGGAGAGTAACAATTATAATTTGTAACATCGGTGTTTATCAAAACATGTTGGATGGATTCCTTTTGCTTCGTTGCTCCGTTGCTTCGTCTAATCATTTTGAAACACACAATTATTAACAATGAGAAACACTTACGCAAGAATACGTCCGATCGCTTTGCAAACTACAATAAATGTGACAGAGCGATGAGAAAAAGACGAGAATCGCGTTACCTAACAAATACAAGAAGCGGTATTGGTCCGATTGGGATTCATCGATGTAAAATAAACAAAGCGCTATCGCGCTGCTTGGGTCTTTTCATACTCATTTATAGAAAGCGCGGTTGCGCTGTTTGGGATTCTTCGACAGTGTTTTTTCAATACCCCCTGGGACTCAAACGGTTAACTACAGTGCTGTCGGTAATGCTAAATCGTGTGTGGTAAAAAGTTGGATCACTTACTCGTTTATATCGTGTATAGTACGGAAAACTTTGATCAAACATTGTTTAGCTATACTATCGATTAAAAGATTGCGAGAAATATTAAAATATATTAAACAAAATGTACAATTATCCGTGCATGTGCCCTTAGGAGTAAGACTTTGCTGCTCTCTATACACGCACTCTCCACTTTTGTCTGGTTAAAACTGTATGGATACATTATAATCTTTGAGTCGCAGTTAGAGTATAGAAAAATGGAGATAAAAATTTAAGATATTAAGAAAGAACGACGTATAATCAATTATAAAAATACTCAATTAATATCATTGAAATAATCATGAAAATTATAGCGTTAATAATATTTATAATTAATATTAGAGAAATTGATATAAATATATCAAGAAGAATATAAAATATCAAACAATATAATAATATTTAATAAATTATTATGTTAGAAAGAGTAACACATTTTTAATATCTTTTATACAAAAAGCTGTCGTTGAAAACAAAAAAGGGGAATCATACTAATGAAAAATAAAAATTTATCTGACTCGTCATTGAATCATATTATTCAAAAATATTAGGTGTACAACTTTGCTTCCGCCGTTTTTTTTCCGAAATTCGAGGCTTTATTGTAAAAAACTGGTTATACATTTATGATTCAAAATATTGTCCATCACTGGCCACTATTTTCTCTCATCTTTCGGGCAGCGTACGAATCCCGCGTTGAAAAAACTGGTCATCTTTTGAAGCGATCCACGAATCGATCCAATTTCTTACTTCTTCATAAGACCGGAAGTGCTGGTCAACCAGGCCGTGTGCCATTGATCGAAACGAGTGATAGTCAGAGGGAACAACGTCTGGAGAATACGGCGGGTAGGGTAGGACTTCCCATTTCAACGTTTCCAAGTATATCTTGACCACTTTCGCAACATGGGGTCGAGCATTGTCATGCTGCAAAATCACTTTATCGTGTCTCTCGTTGTATTGCGGCCGTTTGTCTTTTCAATGCTCGGCTCAAACGCATTAATTGCGTTCGATAACGATCGCTTGTGATTGTTTCAGTCGGTTTTAACAGCTCATAATACACTACGCCGAGCTGGTCCCACCAAATACAGAGCATGACCTTGGAGCCCTGAATATTCGGTTTGGCCGTCAACGTGGAAGTATGGCCGGGATATGCCCATGATTTTCTGCGCTTGGAGTTATCGTAATGAACCCATTTTTCGTCCCCAGTCACAATGCGATGCAGAAATCCCTCCCGTCTTTGCCTTTCAAGCAACTGTTCACAAGCAAACAAACGCCGTTCAACATCTCTCGGTTTCAACTCGTACGGCACCCAATTTCCTTGCTTCTGAATCATTCCCATGTCTTTGAGGCGTTTTGAAATTGCTTGTTGAGTCACTCCCAATGATCGTGCCAATTCTTCTTGACTTTGACACGAGTCTTCATTAAGTAATGCCTCCAATTCTGCATCCTCGAAAACCTTCTCTCTTCCACCGCTATGCCGGTCTTCGACGTGAAAATCACCGTTCTTGAAGCGTTGAAACCACTCACGACACGTTCTTTCACTAATAGCGGCCTCATCATAAGTATTTGAGAGCATTCGATGAGCCTCAGCCGCAGATTTCTTCATATTGAAATTAAAACCTCTCGCAAATGACGAGAATTTGGCTCGTAAACTGACATTTTCAATCGAGAATAACTTTATGATGCAGACACAAATCGAGTAATGTTTCTATGGGGTTATGTTGACAGATGCCCAAGTTTATTGCGTGACGTCTATGATCTATTTATTTCGACCACTACTTACCGCTAAAGCCATCTATAGAAAAACGGCGGGAACAAAGTTGTACACCTAATAAAAGATTTCTTCGATTTGCTACACAGTCACAGAGTTTGGAAATAAAAAAATATTGTCTAACTGGACTCATTGAATTATATTATTTCAAATTAGCTAGATGTCTGACTCGTTGTAAAGTATTATGATTTCGATTTATCAGTAAGAACGACAGAAAAGACTTTTTTTCCATTATTGGTGTGTTATTTCATTGCCGCGTATCGATAGTTGTCGGATCGGTACAGTAACGACATCTATCGGTTGCACAACCGTCGAAGATATAGTTTAACTATTTTATATATAGTACATAACGACAGTCGTTAGTGCAAGCTCTTTGTTCTAAGTACAACAAATCCCACGCGAGGAATTCTTCTACTATTGTGTGATATTAAAAGATGTATATTTTATAATTTATATCTAATGTTTGATAAAAAATAATTAAATATTAAAAAAAGGACTCAAGTATATAAAGTATTGAAAGTCGATCATCGAAACGATATGAATGGGCAAGATAGAAATATTAGAATAATATTTTTCGACCGCAATAGCCGCAAAGCTTCATTAGAATACACCTAGTCTACGTTAGTGTAATACTTGATTTATAAAGTAGGATTTGTGTGTGGGTGTATGGGAAAAATAAATATTGCTTTTTTATATTTAATTTGTTTATCAATACAATTTTTTAATGTATTTAGATATAACAAATAAACACAATATTTTGCTTTACTCTCACAAACAGAAATTATTTCAATAGCTTGTTTCCAGTACATTTACTATAACATTTTATAGCTCAACATTATAATATTACATATTATTAATACATAATACATGTTATTTCAAATAAATATAAAGAGCAATTTACATACCTGATGTTCAGGACTTAGACTACTGGTATAATCATGCTCTAATCTCTCTCTTAAAATATCTGTTATTTCTATTACTATT